AAAGATTTGAAAATGTACAATTCTGTGGTTTCTAGTATAGTTACAAAGTTGTGCAACCGCCAGCACCACCTAATTCCAGAATATTTCATCACCCCCCAAACAACATCCCCTTCCATGTTAGCTATCATTCCCCATCCTCCCCTCCCCCAGCCCCTGGCAACCACAAATCCACTGTCTGTCTCCATGCATTGGCTGTTTTGGACACTTCATCTAAATGGCATCCCAGGCTATGGGGCCTTTGCAATCTGGCTTCCTTCAAAGAGCATCAGGTTTTCAAGGCTCATCTGTGTTACAGTGTGTATGCTGTTCTGCACGGTTTCAAGCTTTACATAAATTTTCTTACCCCCTCCGAAGCCTTCTGCAACTTGCCTTTTCCAGCAATGCTTGGTTTCTGAGATTCTTCAGAGGCATAAGGCCCCCCCTTTGAGCTGCTATATGGCATTCCAGTGCTGTTCATTGAGCCAAAAGCAACATTCCTTTTGGTGACACTGGGTTCCCAGGGAATCCTGAGAGAAACCTCCTAGTACCCTGGGCCTCCTCATCTGTAATCCAGCGGGCTCAGAGAACTCCTGCCTGCCTTGCCTCCAGTTGAGGAGACCGAGGAAACACAGGATGAATAAATAAAATATCTGCCCTGCCAGGTCACGCTCAGTGCTAGGGAGGAAAAAAAGCAGGGAAGAGAAATTGGGACCTAGTGAGAGGAGGTGACGTCTGAGCCAAGAGCTGAGGAGGCGAAGGAGTGAACCACTTGGAGATGTGGGAGACGTTCCAGGTGTCGGAGGGGGCACAGCCTGTGCAAAGGCCCTGGGGCAGGACCAGGCCCTGTGTGTTGAATGAGCCGGGAGGACACCCATGTGTCTGGAGCAGAGTGAGTCAGAAGAAAAGAGGGAGGAGAAGGGGGCAGGAATGGGGATGTGGCAGGTCATGCAGGGCCTTGTGGGCAGAACAGAGGACTAGGGTTTACCCCCAGGGGAGGTGGGAGCCCTGGAGGGCTGTGGGCAGGGGATGGACACGATGTGGCTCAGTTGTGCCAGGGTAAGGGTCCTCCCCACCTCTGACGGTTGTTGCAAGGATTAAATGAGTGCGCCCAGCACAGAGTGAGCGCTCTGGCACTGGCAGTTGCCCTATCCTTATTTGTGATCCTTATTTCTTCCCCTGCTCCCCGGGGAGAGCACAGCTGGCCCTGGCAGGGCCGGGACACCTGGGGCCCACCCCCCATACACACTCCTCGGTGTCGCCTTCCCGAGAGGCTCGGGTTCCCGGATCCCCTTACCCCGGGCGGCTCGGCTGTCGCGCCCTGGGCCGGGGGAGGGGAGCCTGCAGGAAGCGGCGGATCCGGCGGCTGTGGCGGTGGCCCCGGTGACCGAGCTCTTCCTGCCATGGAGACCACAGCGGCCCGCGAGGCCCGGGGGGCCGAGGCTCAGCGCCTGCCCGCGCCCCCGCCCTCGCCCGCCGAGCCCCCGGCGGCGTCCCAGACCCCAAGCGCGCCCCGCGCCCGCCCGCGCCTCGTCTTCCGCACGCAGCTGGCGCACGGCAGCCCCACCGGCAAGATCGAGGGCTTCACCAACGTGCGCGAACTCTACGCCAAAATCGCCGAGGCCTTCGGAATCGCGCCCACCGAGGTGAGGCCCGCGGACCCCAGCACCCGAGGCCCACTAGTCGACCGGGGATAGGGGTGAACCCTGGACTCTGGGACGGGGCCCCCCAGATCCTCCATCTCCGGATGGAGGGGACCCCATCTCCAGATCTCAGAGACTCACCTCTCAGATCCTGCGGTGCCCATACCTCGTGGACCCCTTTGCACTCCCTGTGCAAAAGGTGAGCAAGTCTTAGGGCTCATGGATCCTTAGATCGTCCGGAAAACACTGGGCTACTCAGGTAGGAGTGAACCCCAGCCCTCAGGGAAGCGCCTCCGGTTCCTGGACACGGCTGGAGACTGGGGTTCCAGGCAGCCCCCTGCCAGGTGAGATGTCCAAGGTAGTGGGAGTCAGGGGCTGGGCCGCAGGTGCGCCCCTCAGCCCCCAGGGGGCGCCAGGAGATTTGGAATTAACTGCCTTTAAAAGATGGTCTGGGGTTGTCAGGTCACCAAAGGGTTAAAAGTGGAAGTCTGAGGGAGGATGGAAGAAGGGTGTCCATCTGTCCGCAGCCTCCTTTTCATTTTACTCCTCATTCTGGGGGTCCCAGTCTCCTCGCCTCCTACTCCATTCTGAGGATCCCATATTCTGCCCTTAAGCATGACTATGATCCTGGGGAAGGCAGGGGTTTCGTGCTTTTGTGCCTCAGTTTCCCTATCAGGCCCCTGAGCCCATCCCCTGGTTGTTCTGTGCAGATGGTGGGGGAAGAGGGCTGTCGTTAATTTGGGGCTTTCTCTCCTCTCTGGGCAGATCTTATTCTGCACCCTAAACAGCCACAAGGTGGACATGCAGAAACTCCTGGGCGGCCAGATAGGGTTGGAGGACTTTATCTTTGCCCATGTGCGCGGCGAGACCAAGGAGGTGGAGGTCACTAAGACGGAGGACGCCCTGGGACTGACCATCACGGACAATGGGGCCGGCTATGCCTTCATCAAGGTGCCCACCTGGGGGGTGGGGCAGGTGGCTTCCAGGGTGTCCGGTGACCTGGGGTGAGCCCCTGCTCCTCTGTGGTGTGAATGGGCTCTGGGGACCTGAGTGGGGTGGCTGGATGGTGGAGTCCTGTGAATGACTCTGGGTCCCCCGCAGAGGATCAAGGAAGGCAGCATCATCAACCGAATCGAGGCAGTGTGTGTGGGAGACAGCATTGAGGCCATAAATGACCACTCGATCGTCGGCTGCCGCCACTACGAGGTGGCCAAGATGCTGCGTGAGCTGCCAAAGTCTCAGCCCTTCACCCTGCGGCTGGTGCAGCCCAAGAGAGCCTTCGGTGAGGGCCATCTGGGGCCCTGGGGGACAGGCTGGGTGGGGTGAAGCTCTTTCAGAAATGGGTTCTTTGGATGTACGGAGTGGCAAAGAGTCAGGGGATGGGACAGGATGGAAGGTTCTAGATGCTCCTGGTAACAGGACAGAGACCTTCTGGCACTGTTTGAGAAACAGGTGGGTTGTTTCTACATTGTCATAGAGTCAGCCCAGGCACGGGGTCGGGGGAGGCTTGGGAAGACTGAGAAAGGATAAGGAGCTGTCTGGATCTATTTTGTAACCTGACTGGGAGCTTTTAAAGTCCTGCTTTGAGTCCCTGGTGAGTTCTAGAGAGTGGCTTTCATAGCAAATCCTAGAATGGAGCTTTTCAACGAGAAGTCTGTGACTGGTCCATGGATGAGATAAGGAGGTCACCATACATGTGAGTGCTCAGTTGTTCAGTCAGGTCCTACTCTTTGTGACCTCATGGACTGTAGTCTGCCAGGCTCCTCTGTCCATGGGATTCTCTAGGCAAGAACACTGGAGTGGGTTGCCACTTCCTACTTCAGGGGATCTTCCTGACCCAGGGATCGAACCCGTATCTCTTATGTCTCCTGCATTGGCAGGCAGATGCTTTATCATTGAGCCACCTGGGAAGCCCTCACAACTAGGTTGTGAAAGTGAAAGTGTTAGTTGCCCAGTCATGTTCCACTCTTTGTGACCCCATGGTCTGTAGCCCACCAGGCTACTATGTCCATGGGATTCTCCAGGCAAGAATACTGGAGTGGGTAGCGGGGAAGCTATGACTAGATTAGGGAGAGCAAATTCTATAGCAAGATACTTTCTGAACTGGCCCCAAGGAGAATCTGAAGTAGTTTCTTCTAGGGAGAGTCATTTTGAGAGGAGGAGGGAAATTTAAGGGAAGGAAGCATTCTCAAACAGCATCTCTGAGGATTCATCCATGGAAATAAGGAGGATTTTGGAGGGTAGAAATGTTCTTGAAGGGCTCAGTGGCTTCTGAGTCTTTACGAAGATGTAGCTTCACCTGGAACACACGCACCTCTTCTCCTTTGTCCCCTCCAGATATGATCGGCCAGAGGAGCCGGAGCAGCAAATACCCAATGGAAGCGAAAGTCAGCAGTGGGAGGGAGACCCTGCGGCTTCGGTCTTCGGGGGCCGCCACTGTAGAGGAAGTGGTGAGTGGAGGGGATGGGGGGCCTTCAGGGGCTCTTGCACATAGAGTTCTACCACTGATGCCAACTCAACATGACCTTGGGGAAAACCCTCTCCTTTACCCAGCCTCAATTTCCCCATCTGCAGAATGGGTTCTTTTTTTTTTTTTTTTCCAGAATGGGTTCTTGTCAGTCAGGGCAGTAATGGCGGGACCAGAAGCATTGACTCATGGAAGGTCCCAATCTGCTACCACCAAAGGGGTAGTGACTTGGGGAGGGGGCTGGGTGGGAGGATCCCAGGCTTCTGACTCTCTGCTTTGCCCCCCATGCCCCCAGCCCAGTGAATTCGAGGAGGAGGCATCTCGGAGGGTGGACGACCTGCTGGAGAGTTACATGGGCATTAGGGACCCAGAGCTGGGTAAGGGGCCAGGGTAAGCTGGGTGGACCCTGGGGGGAGGACAGCCCATGGGGAGGAGACGGGAATCCCCCCCACCTCAGGGAGAACCCTCACCCACTTCCCTTCTGCTTGGCCTGCAGCATCCACCATGGTGGAGACCTCCAAGAAGACAGTGAGCGTCCAGGAGTTTGCACGCCATTTAGACTCCGTCTTGGGCGAGTTTGCCTTCCCGGACGAGTTTGTGGTGGAGGTGTGGGCCGCCATCGGCGAGGCCAGGGAAGCCTGTGGCTAGTCTGCCCCGGTGCCAAGCGCAGCCCCAGCTCGGAGCCCAGCCCCCTGCCCCAGCCCTCCCGGTCAGTTTCCAAAGCCCAGCCCTGCTCCAGAGTCCAGAAGCCCAGACCTGAGACCCAGCTCTGCTCTAGAACACAGTCCAGTTCAGAGACCAAGCCTAGATCTGAGCCCGAGTCCTGCTCTAGTGTCCAGCTGAGTTCAGGGACCAAGCTCAGATCTGTGACACAACCCAGATCGGAGCCCCAGCCCTGCTTTAGAGCCCAGCCCATGTCAGAGATCAAGCCCAGGTCAGAGCCTCAGCCCTACTCTAGAGCCCAGCCCAGCTCAGAGACCAAGCCCAGAACTGAGACTCAGCCCTGTTCAGAGACCAAGTCCCCCTTTAGAACCCAGGTCAGTTCTGAGGCCCAGTTCATCACTAGAACCCCATCCAGTTCTGAGATGCAGTCCAGCTTCAGAACCCAGCTCAGTTCTGGAGCCCAGGACAGCTCTAGAGCCCAGGACAGCTCTAGAGCCCAAGCCAGCTCTGAGGCTAAGCGGAGCTCTGATGTGAAGTCAAGCTTTGGAACCCAGATAAATTTGAAGACCCACCCCAGCTCTGAAATCCAACCTGGTTCTGGGAGCCAGGCCAGCTTTATGACCAAGCCCTGCCATAAAACTCGATCCAACTCTGCAGCTCAAGACAGCTCCGTGACTCAGCCATACCTGGATACTCAATCTAGCTCAGGAACACCAGTTAGTTCTGGAGCCCACGTGAGACTCAAGAGGCAGTCCAGCTGTAGAAGCCACTCCAGCTTAGTAGTCAAACACGGTTCTGAAGTGCAACCCTGTTCCCAAACCCAGGCCAGCTCAGGAACCCAGATGCATACTTCAGTCCAGCCCAGGTCCAGACCCTATCTGCGTCCTAGGGCCCAGTCCAGCTCCAGTGATGAATCCAGCTCAGAGACTGAGCCCAGATCTAGCCCCCAGCCTCGTGTGACAAGCAAACCCGTCTCCAGGATTCAGACAAGCTCTGGACCCCCACCCATTGCTGGGGCAAGACCTGCCTCCAGAGCTCAGCCTGATGCTAAGCCCCATGAGCACTGCAGAGCACAGAGCAACTCTAGAATGCCATCCAGCTCTGGGACAAGGACAGATCTCCAAGCTTGGCCTCTTTCCAGAGTTCAGTCCACCTCCAGCACTCCACCCAGCTCCAGAACTCAGCTCGGTTCTAGAGCCCAGGTTGGCTCTGAAATTCCACCTGACTCCAAAACACAGTCAACTGCTGAGACCCAGGTACATTCCAGAATACAGCTAATGTCTGGAATCTGGTCAAGTCCTGGGACCCAGAAGGATGCAGACACAGACTTCAGCTCCACAGCTATGTCAAACTCCGAGAGTAGGCCCAGTTCAAGGACCCAGCCCTGCCCAGTAGCTCAAAACACCTCTGAGGCTCAGCTCAGCTCAGAAAGCCTGACAAGTTCTAGAAACCAAATCCAGGCAACAACCCAGGGCAGCTCTGGGACTGAGCCAGACTTTGGGAAGCAGGCAAGCTCTGGAACTCAGCTCATCTCTAGAACCCCTCCCACCTCAGAGATGCAGATAAGTGCAGGAATTAAGCCCCGCTCTGGAGTCAAGCTCAACTCCAAAACCCAACCCAGCTCCACAGTTCAGTTCAGGTCTGAGATGCAACCCAGCTCTGAAACCTTGAGCAGTTCAAGAATACAGTCCAGCTCTGGATCCCAAACCAGCTCCAGAACCCAGACCAGTTCTGGAACCCAGCTGAGCCCTGAGATTCAGCCCAGTTCTGGGACCCAGACCAGTGAAAGAACTCAGCCCAGCTCTGGAGTCCAATTCAGCTCCAGAACACAGCCTGCTTCTGGATCCCAACCTGGCTCTAGAACTCAGACCAGTTCTGGAACCCAGCCCAGTCCTGAGACCCAGCCCAGCTCTGGGGCCCAGACCAGTGAAAGAACTCAGTCCAGCTCTGGAGTCCAGTTCAGCTCCAGAACACAGTCTGCTTTTGGATGCCAACCTGGCTCTAGAACCCAGACCAGTTCTGGAACCCAGCTCAGTCCTAAGACCCAGCCCAGCTCTGGGACCCAGACCAGTGAAAGAACTCAGCTCAGCTCTGGAGTTCAGTTCAGCTCCAGAACCCAGTGCAGCCCTGGAATTCAGTTCAGCTCTGAGACCCAGCCCAGCTCTGAAACCCAGCCCAGCTCTGAAACCCAGACCACTTCAAACACTCAGCCCAGATCTGGAGTCCACCTTACTTCCAGAACTGAATCTGATTCTGAAACTAGAAGCCAGACCAGTCCAAGAATTCAGCTCAGCTCTAGAAAGGGGCCCTGCCCACAGACCCCAGGCCTTGACCCCAGAACCCAGCCCTATCCCACCCCTTATGCCCGACCTCAACACCTAGGCCCACCACCCAGAGCCCCGACTCCAGGTCCTAGCCGAATCTCTTGCCCCCAGCCCCAGCCCCATGATCTGGGACGAGGAACCCCGCCCGACCCTGGGCCTGGCAGAAGCCCCTCAATTTCTCCCCTGGCCCCACAGCCACAGTCCCCCTGCACCCTCCAGAAACCAGCCCTTTCCCCCAAGCCCCAGCTGGGACCCCAGAAGTCTACCCCACCCACCAAATCTGTCATCCATAGTTTTGCCCCCAGGGTGGCCCTCCTTAGTTCTCAGACCCTTGAACCCTCATTTGAGGGGACTGCCCCCTCCTCCATGCTCAGGGAGTCTAAGTTACCTCCACGGGAGTCAAAGCTCCTACCCCACCATGGAGGGCAGTAGATTGGGCGTGACATAGTTGGAGCCCCCATGGCCCCCATCCCCTCTCCTGCTCCTGCCTGCCTGGGTTGCTCAGAAGTAGCAGGTGACTGTATTACACACCCCATCCCTGTAAATGGGGTGGGGCAGGTGAGGAAGGGAGGGTGGAAACAGTTGATCCTAGGTCTATGGGAGGGCAGTGAGGTAGGGGTGAGCAGGGGAGGCAGGAGGCAGTTTCCTTCTCATGTACCTTGAGGGCTTGAGGGCTCGTGGGGAATAAAAGCATAAAGGCACCACCCACCCCTGCAGCCTGATGTGTTATTTTGGGGGGTATTTGGGGGAGAGCAGAGGAAGGGGTGCTGACATGAAAACACTAGATGCTTCTTAAGTGCCTACTATGTGCCTAGCACCTTATAAGTGCTAACTGTGCAGGCGTTGAAGGCCCTACAGACACACAGCAGTCTGTACAGGATCAGTCTACTTTTATTGAGCAGCTACTGTGGGCCAGGAGCCGCTTGCTCAAGGTGCAGGGAGTCTGAGGGGCTGAGTGTATAGATGCTGAAACCATAAGCTGATGAAGGCATGCGCTTCATCTGCAGTGGAGGAAGCAGGCGTGTACCCCATGGTCTCTAGGTATCTATCTTGTCCTCTCTTTTCCTCATCTGCTAAATGGGTTTAACCCAGAACCGCTCCTAGGGTTGCAGGCAGGATTCCAGGAGATCTCAACCGTGAAGTGCTTAGGGAAGACTCAATAAAGGGGGTGGGGAGAGGAGTGAGGAGCCAGCCCCACCTCTTGGGGCTTCCCCCACTCGCCCCCTAGTTCTGCTCAGCTGGGGCTTCCCCGACCCCAGCTCCAGTCCTGCTCAGCAGCTGTGGGCTGGATAGGAATCTTGCCACCAGAAACTTCTATTTTGGATGATTTCAGAGCCAAAGGAAAATAAAGCCGAGGTGGAGATTATATTTTGGCAAGAGAGGGGGTCTGTTGGTATTCAATTTTTCTAGACAGAGCCTTCTCAAATTGGGGTGTCAAGGGGAATCAACCATACCCCAGTAAGCAGGTCAGATTCAGGGGTCAGAGCCCCCTATTTCTGGAGGATTTCTGCAAGGGGAGGCTTACAAGTCTGATTTCCTCCAGATAACTGCCCAGCACCGTCACACCCTTTTTGGAGTTGGGAGGGGACTCAAAGTAGGGTCTGAGAGAGGGGAAGGGCTTTGGAAAGGGGAGTCAGGGAAGCCTTGCAGGGGGGGTCCCTGGGGCTGATGGAAGATAGCACACAATTTTGTTGTTCAAACCTTCTGTCTATGCTGCACTCTTGGCTCCTGGGCATCAGGACAGACAGATGCGACCGACTGGGAGGATAAAGGCTGGTGAGGGACATTCTGGCAGGGTGCTCTGTCCTTCCAGAGCCGCCACTATGTCCAGCCTAGGACCTAGTGTATCGTTGACCTGCGGGTGAACTGGGGCTGCAGGGACAGTGACCTGGACCGGGTGCTCAGGCGAGGGTAGAAGCGCTGGATCACTGCCCGGCGAAACAGGATGTACACCCAGGGGTCGAGGATCTGGTTCCAGGTGGCCACTCGCAGGTAGATGAGCAGCTGCCGCTCCGTGGGCCGGGACAGCTGCCCCGTCGGGCTCATGGCGGGCGGGCTCTGCAGCACCGTCTGGGCGATGAAGACCTGCCGGGGGCCAGAGCAGTCAGCCAAGGGCCAGGCTGGCAGCCAGCCCTGCCCTCCGTCAGCACCTGCCTGTGCCACCCACTGTCCCCTGAGATCCAGTGCTGATTCTGTCCCTGCTGGGCTCTGTGACCTTCAGGATATCTGCCTGACCTCTCTGAGCTTCAGCTGATGTGGCTGCAAAATAGCACACTTTTCCTGCTCCTCCCCTGGACATGATTAAACATGGTGGACAAAGAGGGCTTGCAGGTGCGAACAGGTGGAATCACTGTGACTGCCAGTGTTATTATGCTATTAAACACATATCTTATACAAACTTTACATATATCAAATATATATACTATATATAATAATATATCAAATTATGGTATAAGATTTATATTAAATAATTAAATTTTGTTATTTTATTATTTTACATTCTGAAATTTATAGTTTATTAAATTCTGACAAAATTTTATATTAAATAATTTTATGTTAAAAATAGTAAATCAGTTTACTATAGTTTATTAAATATTGGATTTATATTTAATATTACACAATATGTAATAAAAGATACAATTATACACAATAATTTATAAATAATTATAGAATATAATATAGAATAATATAGTTACCCAATAATATATTATTAATTATAATCATATTATTTATTATATGGTATTTAAAATTATATATGTAATTATATAACATATAATTTTAATGTGACTATGTATTACATATGATTGATATAATTACTAAGTATTCATTAATAACATATAGTTATATGTTATATAGTATTTAACAATTATATAATATATATTATATACTATATAATGATCAATATAGTTATTAAATATTAAATAATATGTAATTATATGCTATATAGTATTTAACAATTTTATACTATATAATGATCAATATATTAAATATTAATTAATAATATGTAATTATAATAGTTTTGCTCAGTCATGTCCAACTCTTTGCGACCCCATGGACTGCCAGGCTCCTCTGTCCATGGGCTTTTTCAGGTAAGAATATTAGAGTGGGTTGCCATTCGCTTCTCCAGAAGATCTTCCCAACCCAGGAATCAAACCAGCACCTCCTGCACTGTTGACAGATTCTTTACCTGCTGAGCCACTGGGGAAACCCCCTAATTATAGTTATATGTTATATAGTATTTAACAGTTATGTAATATATAATCATACATTACATAATAATTGACATAATTAATTATGAATGTATATAATTATAGTGATACGTTACATGGTATTTAACAATTATATAATATATATGTTATATGATTGATATAATTATTGAGTATTAATTAATACTATATAATTATAGTGTATATTATATAGTATTTAACAATTATAGCATGGTTGTTATAATTATATATATTAATTCTAATACAAATTATTATAATGGGTATTATATTTCATAATTAAAATTATACTATGATTAATATTAATATTGTATTGAATTACTACATTACAATTGTTTCCTGAGCACCTACTGTGTGCTGGGCAATTCTGGGGACAGTGCAGTGGCTACAGTGGACTCAGGCTCTACTTACATGACCAGGTGGTTTCAGCTCGGTGGTAGGGGTGGGTGTGATCGAGCAGGGATGGAGGCACTGTTGTAGCCCAGAGGAGGCGCTGGGTCAGGCTTGGGAGAGGTAATCAGATGGAGAATAGGAGTTTCCCCAGTGAGATGGAGGGAAGTGTCTGTGGACCTTTCCTCTGGGACAACAGGGAGCCATGGGAGGTTTTGGAGCATGGGTTGGCTCATGGGCCAACTCTTGCCTGCCGCCTGTTTTTGTTGTGCTTTGTTTGCACCTTTTTAGTTTGTTGTTTTGCTAAGAATGTTTTTACATGTGTCAATGGTGAGAAAAAAAATAGAAAGCATATTTTGTGAAGTGACATTTACATGAAATTCACATTTCTGAATCCATAAATGAAGTCCTTTTGGCACTCAGGTGTGCCCAGTCATTTCCAGGTAGCTTTCACACCCCAATAGAAGAGCTGTGTGGTTGTCACAGAGACAGTGTTTAAAAGGTATACTATATGGCCTTTTAGGAAAAACTTGGCTGCCAAAGGGGACTTGGGAATCATTTAATGACTCAGTGATTCTACCTAGAACACCTTCCTGGTTTTTATCTGGCAGCTTATCTCCTATTAAGGAGATCAAACCAGTCAATCCTAAGGAAATCCACCCTGAACATTCATTGGAAGGACTGATGCTGAAACTCCAATACTTTGGCCACTTGATGGGAAGAACTGGCTCATCGGAAAAGACCCTGATGCTGGGAAAGATTGAGGGCAGGAGGAGAAGGGGGAAACAGAGGATGAGATGGTTGGCTGGCATCATCGACTCAATGGACATGAGTTTGAGCAAACTCCAGGAGATAGTGAAGGACAGGGAAGCCTGGCGTGCAAGGGATCACAAAGGATCTGGACACAACTGAGCGAATGAACAACAACAGATATCCTATTCAGGCTTCCCTGGTGGCTCAGATGGTAAAGAATTCAACTGCAATGCAGGAGACCCAGGTTCCATCCCTGAGAAGGAAATGGCAACACACTCCAGTATTCCTGCCTGGAGAATTCCATGGACAGGGAGCCTGGCGAGCTACAATCCATTGGGTCACAAAGAGTCAGACACAACTAAGTGACTAACACACATATCTCTCTAATCTTCTATCCATCCTTCAAATCTCAGCTCCAGTGGTTCAGAGAAGGGCAGGGGTCATCTGGGGGTATTCTGAGACAGTCAAGCCTGGAAGGCAGGGATGAGGAAGATGCTGAGGCAGACCTTTGTCAGGGAACTCTTGGTGAAGGTGACATTTGAGCAAGGACATGGAGGAGTGAGGGAGTGATTCATGTGGAGATCTGGGGTTGGGGGAGCATTCCAGGCAGAGGGTACAGCACATACAAAGGCCCTGGGGCAGCATCATGTCTGGCATGTTGAAGGAACAGCAAGGAGGCTGGTGTGGCTGACGCAGAGTGAGCAAGGGGGAGAGAGGGATGAGGGAAGGGCAGGGAGGGGATGGAGAAGGTCTTGCAGGGTCTTGTGGGCTGCAGGAGGACTTAGGGTTTTATCCTGAGGGAGAAGGGAGCCCTGAAGTGCTGTAGGCAGAGAGGGGGAAACCTGAATCAGGTGCTCACAGGCATCCTCTGGATGCTGCTCAATAAATAATAATGATAATAATTATAATAAACAAAAATAGAAACAGTCTCAGTTGTATGAAAACAGACTTGGGAGGGACACCCCAGGGACTGAATTTCAGAAGCACATTGCTCAGCCAGAAGCATCATACCATAACTTTTGCTCCCCTGGGGCCCGTCATGCCTGCAGCTTCACATATCACACACAAAAAATTATGCTTCCTTCTATTTCTTTGCCCACCACTGAACATGTAAAAACATTTAGCAAAACAAAGCACAACCAAATTTGAAATCTTCCTATCCCACAGATTTAGTTTCTGTTTTAGCCCTTATCACTTCCTAATATCTACCATTTCACTTATTTATGCAGTGTTTATTTGCTGTCTTCCCCATGATCATGGAGTCGCAAGAGTCTGACACGACTTAGCGACTAAACCACCACCACCATGATCAAAGAGCTCCAGGAAGTCAAGCATTTTTGTCCTTTTTGTTCCCTGCTCAGCATCTAGACCAGAGCCAGCAATATGCTGGTTGTTCAGTCAATGTTTGTTGAAGAAACAAATGGATGAATGAGTTCATTTCCTCCTGAGTCGCTCTGAGAGGCAGACACCTTTTAAATCATCCCCATCCCCCATGGCTCAGACGGTAAAGAATCTGCCTGCAGTGCAGGAGACCCGGGTTTGATCCCTGGACCCTGGGTCGAGAAGATCCCCTGGAGAAAGGAATGGCTACTCATTCCAGTATTCTTGCCTGGAGAATTCCATGGACAGAGGAACCTGGCAGGCTATACAGTCCATGGTGTCACAAAGAGTTGGAGATGACTGAGCAACTAACACTTTCTTCTTTTAAATTCTAAGGAACTGATTGAGGCTGGAAGAAAGATGCCCATAGCCAGAGTCACACGGTAAGTCCTTGTTGGATATGGGCTGGAAACCAAGTATCTGATTGTGGTCTTCAGACTTGTCCAGATCGAATCAGAAATGGAAAAATAACAACTCCAAAAGGCCAATTATATTAATCAGTGGAAGGACTTCAGTAAACTCACCTGACTCAGGGAAAATCTGTGAAAGGCTGGGGTCCAGCCCAGAACTAGGCACAAGGTAGACCAATGATTCAGTGATTCTAGCTGGAATATTCTCCCTGCTTTCGTCTAGCAGGTAAACTCCTCTTCCTCCTTCAAAACCCCAGCTCCAATGACCCTCTTCTGGAAAGTCTTCTCTGATACCCCCCTGGGGTGGGGAGAGCCTGGGAGCCCCTCCCTGGGCATCTCAGTCCCAGGACACTGCTTCTGCCCCAGTCCTGCCCCCAGTTTGGGGTTATCTGTGTCTCACTCAAGGGAGTACCTCTGAACCCTGGGGTCACATTTTCTTGGGTTAATAAGAACCTGAGGGTTGTGAATCTATCAGGATGAACCCAGGCCCAGGTAGTCCCCGCCCCGATCCCCGCCACTCACCAGCAGTGGCATCCAGCAAATGCTGGCCACCACCATAATGCCCATGAGCTGCACCATCATCTCCACCTCACAGTCCCTCGGGCGCTGCTGGGCAGTCGCCTGCCCATGGTAGACGTGGCACAGGGTGGCCACACTGATCGTGTTGAGCAGGAAGGACATCCCCACTGAGACGCTGCCAAGGAGTGCGAAGAGCAGGCCGAAGGCCACGTCCCCCGGATCGGTGCCAAGTGTGAGGAAGCACCAGGAGCCGGGGTACTGCACGGTGTAGTGGCCCACACCCAGAAGGGGCAGCAGGCCCAGCGCCAGCGCAGAGGCCCACACCAGCCCCACTGTGGTCCAGGCTCGGCGCTGTGAGGCGGTCGCGGGCCTTGAGAAGGGCCGGGTGATGCCCAGGAAGCGCTCCGAGGCCATGGCGGCCCCCAGCAGCAGTGGACACAGGCCAAAAAAGACCATGATGACACCCATGAAGTGGCAAAGGCTGCAGCCAGGGTCCACGGTCTGCCATTCAAAGAGGACAAAGTGCTGGGTCACCACGATGGCGCCGGTGACCAGCAGCCCCATGAAGTCAGTGAGGACCAGGCCGCAGAGGAAGGTCAGGAAGGAAGATCTAGACTGGGAGCTGCCCTGCCGTGCGCCCATCAGCACGCTCAGCGCCAGCAGGTTGGAGGCCAGGCCCACCAGGCAGAAGGAGGCTGCGAACCACGGGGAGGCAATCAGGCGCCGCTCCTCCTGTGTGATGTTCATAGGCCGGAAACAGGGCCCCAGAGAACTGGCATTGGGCCACATGGTGCTGGAGCATAGCGGGGAGGGTCACCACTTCATCAGGCCAAGGCTGGTGGTGGTTCAGAGACACCTGTGGGGAGGCGGGCGGCAGAGAAGATTTTGGTGGTTCATTCTACATTTTCGTCTGAGTGGCCCCAGTGAACTACACAAACTTCAATGCCCCAGCTCAAATTTCCCCTCCTTGAAGAAGCCATTCCTCAGTTATCTCACTCCCAGCTCAGTAAGCATTACTATTACTCCTCCTAGTAGTAGTCCTGCTATTACAATTATGAGGATGACTAGCTCCACCTCTGTCCTGCCCCAGGCTCAGTGACCCTCAAGGGCAAGGATCAGTTTTCCCTCTTCTGGGAACCCTGGAAGACACCAATTAATATCTTCTAGGTTGCAGAGAAGGGTTGAGAAGCTCTGGGTTTGAACTCTAGCCCTGACACCAACTATGTGACCTCAGGCAAATAATTTTTTCTTCTCTAAACTTCTGTTTCCCTGGGGGGTAACTATCTGAGTCCTTCATGGAATGAAGGATCCAGGACAGATTTCAACTGCTGTAAAACAGGACACGTGAAGTGTGGGGAGAGCCACTGGCTGACGGCCAGAGGTCACTGGCTCCCAGGCCAGCTCTGTGGTCAGCCTTGAGGTCACAATTCCTCATGAAGGCCTCGGGGAAGACCCGACCTCATTGGTCTTTTAGGGACATCCTTCCTCCCAAGTTAGAATCATGTAGATTCCTTCCCCACCCCTCATTTTTGTTTAATAAAAAATAAACCCTGAAATCCAGTACCAGTCTGGGGGAAAAAAAAAAACCCAGTTCACTGGAAGCAACCGGGTCCCCAGTGACAGGCTATAAACAGTAGCAGGGAGGTAATGGGCTATGAACTACTCAGTATGGGGCTGGGAGAGAAAATTGGAGAGATGTGTGGGTCTGACTGTCTGGGGTGTGGATGAACTGACCAGTGTTTGAGGAGAAATAAAATGATACCATTTGAAAGTCAGCTCTCTAAAGCAATTATACTCGAATAATAATTTAAAAACAAGTCTTCTCTCAGTTCCCCAAAAGGATACAGCTGGGAGGGCACAGGGTCACCATGTGGCTAGCCTCCCATGTGGTGTGCATGCACATCACAAACCATGCTGTGCCAGCCGTGAGGGGCCACTGGCCGCAGGATCAGAGTGGACAAAGGTGGGGAGGCAGGACGGTGGGAGGCATGGAGGTTCCAGGCTGCTGAAGCCCAGAAAGGTCCACTTATTTTTTTTAATTAAAAAAAAATTTAGTTATTATTATTTTATTGGGCTTCCCAGGTGGTTCAGTGGTAAAGAATCTGCCTGTAGTGCAGGAGATTCAGGTTCAATCCCTAGGTTGGCAAGATCCCCTGGAGGAGGAAATGGTAACTCGCTCCAGTATTCTTGCCTGGAGAATCCCATGGAAAGAGTAGCCTGGTGGGTTACATGTGGTCGCAAAAGAGTCGGACACAATAGAGCGACTAAACCACCACGAGAGTATTATTTTATTATTAATTAATTAATTAAACTGTACAAGGTCTTAGTTGCAGCATGTGGGATCAAGTTCCCTGACCAGGGATCGAACCTTTCAGGGTCCCCTGAAATGAGAGCTCGGAGTCTTATGATCCCCATTTTGCGGAGGTGGGGAATCCGAAGTACAGAGAGGTTAAGTAACTAATCCAAAGTCACACAGTCTAGCTGGAGTTGATCAGAGATCAAATGTGTGCAATTGAGTCAAAAGCCTTGCAGCCAGGCAGAGGCTGAGAGGTGAGAGGTGGGTGTGGAGGGTCACCATTTCTAGGGAATTCCCCGGCAGTCCAGTGGGTAAGACGACATGCTTTCACTGCCAAGGTTGCATGAGGCACAGCCAAAAAGGGATAGAATTTTTCTAAAATGACTGCCATGAATCCTGTCACGAACCTTGGAGGAGTCTCGTCCCTACTCTGAGCCTCGGTCTCCCTTCCGATAAAATGGGGCCAATGATGAGCCCCGAGGCTGTGTCTGTGACCGGCCTCAGGAGCAAGTGTGCTAGCTGTACCCCACCTCACTCCCCATCCCTTTAATTCATCTCAACAACTCCTTATCTAGCCTCATAAATTATCCAGCTCCTGATGGCCAGCTCCTCTGATCCTCCCTCCCAGGCTGGGTCGCCGCCACTTTGGTGAGGGTGGGGCCTCGAGTGAGAAGCTGAAAGCTGAGAGACGGTGAGAAGGGGCCTTTCCACGGTGCGTGGCCATCTGAGCGAGCCCTCCACTCCGGGGAGGGGATGTGCTTGTTGTTAGCTCAGATTTGATCTGCACTTGAGTTCCCCCTGGGACAGGGTGCTCCCTCCCTCCCTCCCTCCCTCCCTCGAGAGCTGGTATGTGTTGTTTCTAAACATTCTCGGACCGGGCTGTGTCTGTGGTCACTGCCCCTGCCTGACCCTGGAGTGACTGCCAGCCCTTCCCGCATCTCATGGCCCCAGGGTCCCCTACTCTTGTGCAGGAGCTCATGCACCCAGGGACATAGGCCCCGAGTCTGTTTCACACTTCCCATATGTGGGAACAAACACTGTGAGCCCAGGGCCCCGGCCTCGGGGAGACTGGAAACTGGCACCACTTCCTCTGGCTCCAGCACTCAGTTTCCAGTCCCCCAACCAGGGGTTCAGGTGATAGCAGCCGGCTCAAGTTCCTCAGGAAAGCGGGCCAGGAGGGGCACTGGCAGCGCCTCCCCTTCCCTCCCACATTGACCAGGAGGGCTCCAAGGTCCAGAAGCACCGCTGTGTGGCCCTTGGGAGAATCGCTCACCGTCTCTGTGCCTCATGAGAAACATGGACCCCAGATTTGCTGGACAAACCCAAGGATCCTATAACCCGAGAGTGGGGGAAGTTTGGATTTGGAAAATCCAGGGTTCTGGAATTCTAATGAGTCCCCGGTTCTAGAATTCTAACAAGGTCCCACTTCAGGAACCCAAAGGCCTGAAGTGTCTAGAATTTAAGGGGGCTGAGGTTCCAGAGCTCTGATTGGCTGGTCCTGAGTTCCAGAAATCTCTCTCTCTTGGGCCCTGGCTCCTCTCTGCAGGACTGCCGGATGGACATTCAGCGCTCCCTCAGCTCACCTTGGGGAGGCTGGGAGGGTTCCAGCCACCACTGTCCCAGAGGCCTGGGCACTGGGCCAGGCATGGGCACCAGGCTGCCCCCCCCCACCACCACGGTGGCCCTGGCAGACTGTGGTCTTTGGATCCCAAGGGCAGGGCCCTTCCTCTGCCTGATGGTCCGTCACTGCCTGCCCACTCTCCTCCTCCTGCTTCTGCAAGCCATCCATTTTTTAACAAGTCCCTCTCCCTCTCAACACCCCACCCCATGGCCTGCCTGCCTGTCCCCATGCCAGGGGCCTATCCACCCTCCCCCCAGAGGGGCGACAGTGACCTCAAACAAGCTCGGACTGGAGCCCCCAATCTGCCACTGTCAAGTGGGGGCTTGACCTTGCCAAGTCTCAGTTGCCCCCTTTGTGAAATGGGGACAAGGCCACTGATTTGCCTACCAGCATTCAGGCTGGTCTTCCCAGGCCCGATCTGCTCTTGCCATTGAGACGTTGAGTCTTCACTTCCCACACACACACACTCACACCCCCCACCCCACCCCTGCCCAGTGCCCGCACTCTTCCTGCTTCCTGGCTGTGCTCACAGCTTGTCTCCTGGCTGCACACACTGAGCAGCCAGGTGGAAGCCCTGATGCACTGTATGACCTCAGTCCATTTCCACATTTCCTAAGTCCTCTAATGCTGCCCAGTTGACCAAGGATCATGCCCTCTGGAACGAACATGCAGGGACCAGGCCTGTCGCTGCATTGGTTCCGGGTCATGCCTGGTGAACACCTGAACGCTCTAGGGTAGGGACCCTCTGCACACCCTTGTGCAGCCACAGACGCCCACACAGACACAAACACTTACACTCAGGGCCCCTGTCAGCTCCCAGACCCACCCCTGCCTCCCCTCACCACAAGGCTCAATTTCCGGGAACTTTTCCTGTTTGTGACACCAACCAGGTCCCCACCCCAGTCAGCCTGTCTGGGTTAGAGCTGAGCCTTGGCCCTGACTCATGCAGTCCCTCTGAGCCTCAGTTTCCTCATCAGTCCAATGGGCATCCTCTCAGCGCTCACCACTGGCGAGGGGAACAGATGGATGATGGAGGGACGGGACAGATCCAGGCCAGGCAGCCAGTGGTTAGTGATGGACACAACTCCGAGTGTGCGTGCAGACACACAACCAACCAGGCGTGCGCTTTCACTTGCAGCCATACACCCCCACCCCGGCACTGTCTCTGGATGCAGCGCCACAGGACGCGGAGTGGCCTGGCCCAGACTCAGCGGAATCCACACACAAGCACATTCTTGCTCACACTAGCCAGCAGGTGCCCAGGGCAGGCAGCACTCGAGACTGGGACCCAGGCTCAAGAGTGCCCCTGGACACCCAGCACCTAGTAGCTGTCACCGCCCACGGGAACACACCCACTGCAGCGCGGACCGCCCGTAGGATACACCCAAGCCACACCTGCCCACTCTCATGCCCCGCCCCTTACCTCAGAGCCAACTGTTCTCACCTGAAGGTGGTCGAGGGTGCGGACAGGGGTAGGCGCGCCGTCCTGGCCCCTGGAGCACACGTGAGTGCCTGGCGGCAGGAAGGGCGTGCGGAGGCGGAAGCGGGGCGGCTTGGCTTCCCGGGCCCCTGGGGAAACCGAGTCACAGCGGGAGGACTCCCGCGCTGCCACGTCGCGCCGGAGCACCGATGGAGGGCGTTGCGGCGCGGGGTCCCGGGCCGAAGGAGAGGTGACGAAGTCCCCTCTCGGCCTGGAGGGAGGCCTACTGCGTCTAAAAATAGCCTGGAGCGGGGGTTCCGCTCTGCAGCTGGATCCAGTCTCTGCCAGAGTCTCGCTCAGTCTGTCTTTCAGTCTGTCTAGCATCAGTCCCTCCCGCCCCGCTCTGGCCACGCCCCTCCCGCCCAGGCCTGGCTGCTGAGGGTCAAGGGGCGCCCCCCAGCCCGCCCCCGGGGAGATCGCGCGGTCTCCTGGGGGAGGGGGCGTCCGGGGGATCCCGGGACTCAGGGGCAAGGGCGCGGCTGCCAGGTTGGCCAGCGCCCTTTCAGGAGCCTCCGCCCGCCCCCTCCCCCAACCCGGCCCCAGCTAGGCCCCCTTCCGGCTCCGCTCTATCCGCCAGGCCCCCGCATTATTCACCGTCTGGGTAGCACCCCGGACTGAGAGAGGGCGGGGGCGGGGTCAGCTCCCCAGGGCGCCCAGACCCCGGCCCGGGGCCCAGAGCTCAGAGCTGGTGAGCGCGGGTGCGCGGTGGTTGAGGGGTGGCTGGCCCTCAGTTGATGCTTCATCAGTGTAGGGTTTGTTTGAGGCCCCTGTCAGGGCTGGGGGTGGGGGTGCAGGAGTGTTCAGAGGGGAGAGGGACCGCACTCTGAAGCCGAATGCCTCGTGGGCAGCCTGCCTAGACAGTTTTTCCCGGGAGCAGGTGAGCGGGAGGGCTGTGGGCGGCTGCATTCTAGGGGAAGTACATGGGAGCACCTAGGCTGGCATTGGGCCCCGGAGGTGGGGGTGGGGAGGTACGCTTTCCCTCTGCTCCCCAGAGCCCGTCTCTGCAGGAATGATCGCGCTTGAGGCAGGGAGCTGGAAGCTGGGGGAATGACTTTCCAGACAGGATGGGCCTCCTTGAAAGCCCGGTGGCTCACTCAGGGCTGTGGGCCAGGGTCTCACTGGCCCAAAGCTGTGAAAGTAGAGGGTGAGCAGCCCGGTGCTGCTAGAGCAAAGGCGTGGAGGCTGAGCCCAGACTGTGGTGCAAGAAAGTGAGAAGCTTCTTAAAGGTCCTTCCTGCCCACAGTCCTTGGGCCTCAGGTGAGTAAAGGGGGTCCACGGGTTTGGGACTGGCCTTCGAGGATGCATGGGAAGCAGGGTTGGGGCATAGAGGGGTGAATTTGGGCCTCACTGGACCTGGGTTACAGCTTGGAGTGGGCCAGAACCCATTTGCCTTGGCCTTGATCTCATGCCACTGAGTCCTCGGGGGCCTGGGAGGGGCACACCAGTACAGGCTCTGAGTGAGAAAGATGGATTCCTGCCCTGGCCCTGATCTCCCTTCTGCTGGGTCCACCTACCATCCTTCTGGCCTTTCCCTCCCTCCAGATGGCCCGTCCTCTGTTCCATACCATTGTCTGAGTCCCCAGCAGGTTAACCCTAACTCCTCTTCCTTGACAAGGAGTCCCCCCAACTCCTATGCGTCTGGCAGAATCCTGGCTCTGAGGCTCTCTCCTCTGTAAAGCCTTGATGCCCCCCACATCAAAGGAGACAGTCTTGTTCCTCCCAGCTTTTCCTTTAGGGAAACTCTTTGTCCCAGCCCATATGGTAGGACAATTGTGAGCCAGCCCCAGGTAGACTGTAAACCACATCTGCCCTCAAAGATCCCCCAGGCTGGAGAAAAATAAAGCTGTATACAGACATTCCCAGCCTCCTGCATTCAGGGCAGGGCCAAAGGAAATGACAGGGCTTAGGGGGGCCCAGGAGGTGAGTCTGAAAGGCATCCTGGAGTGGGGATGGGGCAGAAGTTGTGAGAACGGGGGCTTTGTGGGATGCATAGGAGTTCCACGTGTCCAAGAGACAGGGCAGAAATTATACGTGCAAAACTTTGGAAGCAAGAGAGAGCATGAGGCTTCAGGGGACTGTAAGGAAGGCAGAGGATGTGGGGCTGGAGCTCCAAATTGGGGGGGTGGGCTGAGATGGAGGAGGATTTTTCCGTTCCCACTTCCTCTGCCCTGAGATAAAAGGACAGTGCTCCTTCTGGTAAACAGCCAGGGCAGGGGTCAGATAAACACACTTGACTTGAGATTAGCAAGTGCCTGGGTCACAGCAGGACTCTGCAAAGCAGGGGGCAAAAATGCTCATTTTATAGACTGGGAAACTGAGGGCTGGAGGGTAGGAAGGCTGGGTCCAAGGCCACATGCAGGTGGGATCTGACCGTGAGTTCTGCACTTCCCCCACCTCCCAGGCTGTAGTCTGGTCTCTTGGTCTCTGCCCCGGCCCTGGTCAAGGGCACATGGGGGTCATGAGAAGCGTTGAGATGGTCTGTGGGGTGGGGGTGGGGGGTGGCAGATGGTGGGAACAGAGGTCAGGCTCAGGATCGGCTTCCCGGGGCTATGGTTTCCGCTGGGAGTCAGGGAGCATCTATTCTTAGTCTCACACTCAGCCAAGGGCAGGAAGAGGCTGAGGTGGGGGTTGGGGGCAATTGAAGGACGCTGGGTGGACACTGGGCAGGAGCTGGGTCCTGGGGCAGCTGGGTGCTGTGGTGCCTCCAGTCTGCCTAATGGGTCTTCCTGACACTCAGCTTGTGTCCCACCCAACTCACTTACCCTCTATGCCTCCCCAGTGCCCTAGAGCCCAGCACCTGGACTTGCATTCAGCCCTGCCCTGGAAACCCTGCAGAAGGAAATGGCAACCCACTCCAGTATCCTGGCCTGGAGAATCCCCACAGACAGAGGAGCCTGGTGGGCTACAGTCCATGGGTTCACAAAGAGTAGGACATGACTGAGTGAATTTCACTTCACTTCCCTGCCCTGGAAGCACCTGTTGCCTTTTCCTCTGCAAGGCAGGCCCAACTTCCTTCTCTGTCCAGCAGCCCAGTCCTCCCAGGCCTGACATAGCCCTCCACCAGGGAAACTTCAGAGTCCCTTTTGGGACCCCTAGACCTCGTGCCTCTCCTGCCCCAGCCTGACCCCTTGCCTGGAGCAGCTCTCCTCCCTCTGGACTGGGGGCTCCTGCTAACACATGCCCAACAATTCGGGGACATGGCCACCTTGTTCCCCTCCCCGAGAGCTACTGCCTCCCTTGAGGTCTACAGGCCACCTGGATTGCAGAAGCAAAGTGAGGAGGAACCGAGATGCTGGGGCTGGGAGGACTCCTCTCGGGGCAGCTGGGGAACCTGAGGCTGGAAATGGGAGGTTGGAGAAGGCTGGATTCTAACTCTGACTGCTGGTTTCTAGGCTTGAAAACGTGGGCCTCTGTGAGTCTGTCCCCCAGATGGATGTAAATGCTGTCATGTACGGCTGGTGTGAAATCTGAGTAACGCCTGCTAAAGGCCAGGTCATCGCAGCCATACAGCCTGCATGCTGAGAACAGAACAGGGCCCCACCCATCTGGTGAGCAACCTCTGCCCAAAACTTGACCTTGCTCCAGGGCCTGTCCTGCACCCTCGACGGTGGAGCAGGCCAGGGATCAACTGGAAGTGGCTGCCCAGAGGATGCTGATTGCTCTGGCAATCAACCATTGATTAGTGATGTCCATGGAGGGTCCCAAAGGGGATGGATGGAGTCTTCATGCTGCTGTTAAGGATATTCTTCCACCTGGACCAGGCTGGCTGGGTGGGCCAGGGCCTGCAGTGGGGAGTGGGTGCCCCTTGACCACGTGCACTTCACCCCCGAGTCCCCAAGCCCTGCTGTCTAGAACGTGTCCACTGACGTATGAGAACATGTGGGGCGGGCCACATCAGTGGAGGCCAGAGCTGAACCAGAGGCTCCTGGACACAGTTAAGTCAGGGTTGGGAGACGACTGGGGGACCTAGGGGTGTCAGTCTCAGTTCTGGGGACCTAGGGACAGATCACTCTCTGAGGGTGGCTGTCCTGGGCACGGTGGGTGCAGAGCCCCCATCCCCGACGCCAGGAGTCCCCCAGGTCCTGACAACCAGTTGTCCCTAGACATTGCTGAGCATCGACCCCTGGGTTAGGTGACTACTAAGTGCCCCCTGGAGTGTTTAGGAATGCACCCTCCTTCTGGGGGGTGAGGGTGGGGGCAAAGATGGAGGAAACCCTCAGATGACGAGGAGCTTCCTCGGGAACCGTTATCGACTATTTTTAGGGGTTGTACTTGTTTTCAAAAGGTCTTAGTTGTTTGGTGCCTTAGTTCTGACAGATGTGCTGTGGTTACACAAGATGTTAGCAATGTGGACAGCTGGGTGTGGATATGAGCGTGGGGGGCGGGAACGCGACAAGACCTCTGTGGTATTTCTGACAATCTAAAATTATTCTAAAATAAAATGTTTATTAAAAAAACATGCACTCTCACAAGTAGACCAATTAAATGAAAATAAACAAGATTTTTCTCCCCCCACCTAAAAAAATCTTTGTAGAGAAACAACCTGAAATGTATGTATTTCCAGATGAAATAAGGTGTCTGGACCAGGCTGTCTGAGGAGTGGAGGCGGCCCTTCAGGCTTCTTCCTACTTGAGGCTGGAAATGTCTCCATAAGAAATTGTTAAAAAGCAGCCTGTTTCTGGGGCGGGGCAAGGGCAGGGGCCGGCCTGGGGCCCCACTGGCAGTCTGTGACTGGGTGAGGGATCGTACCTGTCAGACTCTCACTGTCCCCATCCAAGACTCAGGGACAAGGAAGGTGGCTCTGGGTGGCAGCCTTAAAGGACAGGAGAATGCCCAGGCCAGAGGGGGCCCCCGGAGTGGCAGCTATGGAAGGATATTGCTCCTAGACTTGACAGTGGACAGTAACGGGACTCTGTGCCCATGGGGAGGAGACTGACCCCCAGTCAGCACAGGGGGTGAACTGGGGGACCTGAGAGCTCAGACATCCTCGGATGGCCTCTTGGGGAGCATGCACTCAAGGCCCTGGAGCCTGGGTCGCGCTGGTCCCACACCCACCCGCCAGCGTCCTGGGCCAGTGAGTGCCCTGCCAGCCCCGAGGCCCTGACTTGAGATGGCCGGTGTGGGGCCTGTCCCGCTCAGGGCTCAGCATCAGCCCAGGGACCAAGGTCTGGTGACACCTGCCAGGTCCCCTGGGCTCTGAAAACCCCCAGCAGCCCCTCCAGTGTGAGCGTCCCCTCAGCGCTCCCAGGTAGACTCCGCAGGGAAGCGGGACCTGTTCATGCAGGCAAGGGGGCGCCCTGTGAAGGCCAGGCCTGGCCAGGGGAGGCTACTGGCTCTGCACAAGCCCTCTCTGGGTCGTGGGGCTCCAGGAGGGGGCCCGGCCATCACCGCCGATAGCGGTAGCGTTTGAAGTGGAACCAGAGCTGGAAGATGCCATTGGCGAACTGGCAGCGGAAGCCGTGGCGGTGTGAATACTCCCACTCGCGGTTGACGATCTTGAAGGCGATGTCCTCGTAGGGCGGCCCGGCATGGAAGCGGAGCGTGGCGAAGTCCTTGTTGTCCGCACAGGCCTCCAGGAAGTACTCGGGCGTGGAGCGCTTGTCGATGAGGTCAGGGTAGAAGATGTTAAACTTGTAGCCCTGCACGATCTTGGGTGGTGGGTTGTCGAAGTCGTAGTGCGTCTGGTTGTACTTGTTCCACTCAAAGCCCGTGTGCACGCGGTTGAAGAAGCGTGGCTTGCGCGGCCGGTACTTGTCCGCCCACAGGTAGGCCTTGCCAGTCAGCGGCATCTCCACACTGAACTGTGCCTCGTCCTGGCCCATGCCCTCCTTGGCTCGCCGGAAGAAGATGTCCTCTGCACTCTCGCTGGCGTCGCCTACAGGGGGTGAGGTTGGGGGGCATGTTACCTGGAACCCCGGATACCCCACTTCAGGCCCCGTGCCTGTCACACTCCCCGCTCCCGGCCTGTCTGCCCTGCGCCCCCTGTCCTCCCAGGTGGGTACCAAACACCACGTGTCCCCTGCCAAGTTGCCCAAAGGGCCTGGTAGGTAGAGGCCCACATGGGGACCTTGGATCCAGTCTTCCCAAGGCAGTTTCTCCTCTGTACCAGGGATGATAGCCGGCCTGCGAGGCTCAGGCCCTGGCCCACAGGCCATGTAAGGAGCTCAGAGCAGAGCCGGGCGTTGGAAGTAAATACCACCATCCCTGTGTCCTTGGGACAAACTAGCAAGCAAGTGAACAAAGGGACACTCAGGAGAGCTGGTGGAGGAGGATCCAAGCGGGTTCAAGGCCAAGAAGCCTTGAGCCAAGAGCCCCGCCCTTGCCCGCCCCATAAACAGGGAAGCCCCACCTCTTGCCCCGCCCCCACCGCGCACCTGTGACCTGAAGCTGCTGCCGCGACAGCTGCAGGCGCTGCAGGTCCTCGTCAGGCTCCAGCACGTGGGCATCCAGCGGCAGCTCATGCGCTGTGAGCAGCCGTGGGCTGTACTTGCCGGCATCGTAGTCGTCCAGGCTCTGCTGGATCAGGTCCTCTTCCATGAGCACCGCCTCCCCGTCTGCCTCACCCTCCGCTGGTGTGGCCCCTTCGGCCTCCGGCTCGGCAGGGCCGCCCTCCGAGGGCCCAGGCGGGGTGGGGGCTGGGTCCTCAGGCTCCAGGCTGCGGAGAGGGCTGGGCTGAGCAGGGCCAGCAGCGGGAGAGGGTCCTGGGGAGTGGGGACAGACAGGCCAGGACTTACCCGTGGCCGGGAGATGGCGGCTCCTGCTTGAGGATGGGGAACAGCGGCTCGCTCTCCACGCCCTGCTCCTGCTTCAGCTTGTACAGCTTCTGCCGCAGCACATCCTGGTGCCGCTCGCGGAGCCTGCGGGGCAGGCTAGGCGGTCATCCGGAAGCCCCATGGGGAAGGCCCCTACCCAAGATTTCTCATGACTCCCAATTTGCAGCAAGGACCAGATTGAGGGCAGCAAGGGGCTGCAGCACAGGCAGACACTGGGAGGGGGCAGGTCCCTGGGCCGGAAAAGGACCGTGGACTGGTGAGGAAGAGGATAAACTTAGAAGTGACTGCATTCCGTGGCAGACAGGAACTGTGCTTACACAATGGTTCCAAGCATGCAGAGAATTCAAACACTGGGAGTGTGGGGCCTGTGGATGGGGGAGGCAGTGGCCTCCGGGGCTTCCCATGGTGTCTACTGACCCAGGAAAACAAAGACCAAGTGTTCAGTGGAGGCTGGAAGGAAGGTGGGAAGGAGGCTGGGAGCTGGTGGGGGGACTCCCAGTGAGACTCTGCCCGCTTACCTGGCACGTGCCATGTGGGCCCGCAACTGCTGCAGCAGGCTCTCCCAGTAGCCCATGTCCAGGTTGGGGCCCCCAGCCCGGATCTTGCCCTCGATGCCCTGGAAGATGACCTGCAGCTGGCTGTATGTCTTCCCCTTGAAGACTGACTGCACATCGGAACTGACTGAGGCATTGACACCCTCTCGCCGCTCACCTACAGTGGGGTGGGGTGGCTTGGATAAGGGCTGGGCCCAGGCCCTAACCCCTCAAGTTTGAGAGGCCCCAGATAGCGAGGCAAAGGCTGACTGACCCCCTGTCCCTCACACTAGCTGGCTTCCTTATTTGTGGCTCATCAGAGAGCAAGTTGTGTACCCTCCCTCCAAGCCCCAGGGCCTCTGCACCTGCCATGCAAGCTTCCCACAAGCAGTAAGTTCTTCCCCATGAAGCTGGCCTCCTAGATCCCAGCCATCCTCAGTCCTTAGACAATGTCCCATCCACTGAGAGGCCTTCCACAGTCACCAGCCTACTCCCTTGGCCTAAGGGCCTAACTCTCAGTTTCCCAAGGGCAGGGACCTTCAGCTGCTGTTTAATTAGCACTGTGCTGGGCTCCCCTGCAGCTCAGTACACAGCCGCTGGGTGACGTAGGGCAGGCGACCAGCTTGTGTTCCCTGCTCAAAAGCTGGCTTCTCTAACCCTTGCCAGTGGACAGAGGGTCACAGTTAATCAGACAGGGTCAAGAAGAACCCGAGTCCCTTCAGCCAACCAACGTGGGACCCTACAATGAGAAGTTGGGCTCCCAAGCAGCACTGGCCTCAGTGGGACCTGTAGGACCAGCAGCTTGGCTGTGGTCTGTTGCAGGTGCGCACACATCATGGGACCAAAACCAAATCTGGCAGCAGCCTTCACACCCAGCCAGGCGGGGCCGTGTCCTGCACTGACTCAGACAGAAGTCAGGCCTCTGCTTGTTGAGACAGATGGAGCCACCAGTGAAAACTTAACAATCCACAGAAGCCACAGGCGCTAAGCCACTGTCTAAAGGACCTCTGGGGGCTCTAACAGGGTGGGGAACTGGGGAGGCCACACGGGTGTCCGAGGACCCACTTTCTCCTGCACACCCTATTGTATACTAAGGATTCCCTAGCTACAAAGGAGAGAAGCGGAGGTGACAGGAGGGGGAAAGAAAAAAAAAAAAAGGAGGATTTTCCTGAAGGTCCAGTGATTAAGACTCTGATTCCACTATAGTGGGTACTAGTTCAATTCCCAGGTGGGAAAGTTCCACATGCAGTGCGCCTGGGGGAGGGGGAACAGGAAAGAAAAAAAAAAAAAACGAGAAGGAAAAGGAGAAAGGAAAGGAAAAGGCTGGTTTAACTGGAAAGGGGGAAGGCTGCCATCCTCAGGGCTCTGGGAACAGTGGGGTCACACCTCTCAGCTCCCCTCCTCTCTCAGAAATCAGGCCCAAAGAAAACAAACACACTTGCTCTTTGAGGACACCTGGAGCCACCTGGGGCCCCAACCACAACACGCAAGGGGGAGAGGGGACAGAAGGGTAACTGATGTGGTGGGGGGAGGGGGCCAGGAGGGGCCATGGGCCAGGCACTCAGGGAGCTCTGGAAACGGGGTGGGGGTACGGAACTGGGGACAGACACTTGGCACAATGTCCTTTCACACTTTCCCACAGCGCTGGAGCAGGGTTGCGCTTCAGAAAGAAAACTCCCAGAGCCCAGCTCCAGCCCCAGCCCTGCAAACACCAGTGCGGGCAGAGGAAATGCTTCCTGACATGTAGGACACCAACAGTTTCCTGCCTCGCTCCAGAAGTTACTGGAGGGTGCGGGGCCAAGCCACAGAAGAGACATGGGGTCACAGAAAGCAGGGTTCCACTGCTGGCACGAAGGCAGGAAGCCCCAGAAGGGTGGTGGCGGACAACCCCACCTCAGGGGAACAGGGAGGAAGGGCTCAGGGAGGGGGCAGGGGGCTGGATGGGAGCTTCCCAGGTGTTGGCCCCCTGGGGAGTGAAGCGGAAGGTGGGGTCATGGGTGAAAAATCCCCCATGCCTTCCATGGTCCTGAGCTGAGGCATCAACTCCATAAAGGTGAATGCTGTTTTGGATGTTTGACAACCGTGTGCTCACTTCTCTTCTGGCAACCCTCCGGGAGGTTTTTCCCTGCGCACGGGAAAGACACCCAGGCTCTAGGGAGGCTGCTGACCACCCCTGGTGGCCGAGCTACTCGCTCACTGGCCTGGGTGTGCCCCCAGAGCCACGCCCCAGGCTGTCATCCAGTCCAAGGGCCTTGCAGCACCTCTCAACCAGCACCTCTGCCAACCAAGCAGGCGTTTCTGGACGTTTCTTTGTTGTTTCTGGGGTTTTTTTTCGGCCGTACTGTGAGGCTTGTGGGAGCTTAGTTTCCCGACCAGGGACAGAAACTGGGGCCTGCAGCAGGTTCTAACTGGTCCTAACTGCTTTGCAGCCATGGAAGTCCTCTGGACACACACTGCTGATGGCAGAGTCCCTTCCCTTCTCTGGGACTTACTACAGGATGCGCTCCGAGAGGAGGGCTGAAACACAACTCCACTTTTAAAGATAAAGGATGTTCCTCCTCTTCCTAAGAGGAAGGAAACAGCCCCAACCACCCCATCTGAGCAGCATCTACACACGCTCAGGGGACAGAGGATGCCTGTCCCTCAGCCGCCGTGGTAGCGAGATATGAAGCTGAGAGCTTAGCGACACAGGCTCAAGGCCCCCAGGAGCTGGATGCTGTTAAAGCCAGTGGCTTCAGGGGGCAGGAACGGTGGGGCTCCTGTGGTTGCTGACAAGCTTTTATGACAGTGGCTCTCAACCAGATTTGAACCTGCCTCCTCTCAGGGAACACTGAGCCATATAGGGAACATCTGTGATTGTCACGACTAGGGGCCCTTGGCACTGCGTGGGTAGGGGAGGGAGGCTGTCCACACCCCAGAGGGCCTAGGACAGGCCCACATAAAATGGTCTGGGCCCAGATGTGAGCAGTGCTGTGGGGGGAGACACTGCTTTAGAGCTTGTCCTCTTTGCAATTATATGCATGCAATCATTTTGAAGAAAAGAAAAGCGATTAAAAAGGAACACAGATTTCCTTAGTGGTTAAGACTTGGAGCTTCCACTGCAGGTGGCATGAGTTAGATCCCAGAGAACTAAGACCCCACAAACCACATGGCATGGCCAGAAAAACCCCCAAAACAAAAAAAAGCCCTCCACACAGCATAGGTATCTACCAAGTGGAGTTGGGTCCTGCTCTCACTCAAACAGATTGAGCCTCCAGTGAAAACTTGATACCCCAACAGAAGAGTCCCACTGGTGCTGATACCACAGAAACCAAGCGCTAGGTGATTGTTTAAAGGAAGCCCTTGGCACTACTGGGTGAGACTCCCCCACCAGCAGAAGAGCCCTTCGCTTAGCACCAGCCGCTCCTGATGGCTTGCAGAGAGACCTGGTGAGCCTGTGGCTACCCCAGAGGGGAGGCAGAGACTTGCAGACAATTGGGGTCTTCTGTGGAGCCACCTGACCCACTCCTACCAGACTCAGAGGTGTGACACTGCTGGCCTGGCCCACATTACCTGGCCCCTTGCCCGAGGCCTCCAGCTTTCGTAGCTTGGAGATCTCGTCCTCTGTAATGATCGTCATGTCCCTCCAGAAGTCTGCATTCTTGCCCTGCTCCAGCTCCATGTAGACCTGGAGGGGGCACAGATGGTGTGAAGGTACAGCTGGGGCTTGGACGTGGTGGGGGTGGCGGGAGCATACTGCAGGGCGTACCTGGATGTCCTCTAGCAAGTCCTCCATGTCAGCCACTGTGAGACCATTGAGGAAGGTATAGGGCTCATGCATCTCCACGGCCAGGTCATCGTCCTCAGCGCTGATGTACTTGGCCAGCAGGTCGATGGGCTTGGCCCGTCCGTCCCGGATGCGGATCTTGGACCTGTCAGGGACCAGAGGGCAGTGTCAGAGCCAGGGGTGTGTCCTCCCTCCCGGATTGGGAGCCAGGAGAGGAGCCCAGCCCGCTGTGGGTGGTGGTCAGGGAAGGCTTTCTGGAAGAGGAGGTATCAGGCCGAGAAGCAAGAAAAGTTGGAAGGCACAGGTCCTAAAAGAGGCAGAGACAGGAGCAAGGTGGGGTCTGAAGAACAGTGGGTGGGCCATGACACAGGTGCAGAGGACAGCCCGGGTGAAAGATCTAAAGCCTCAGTGCTGTGCATGGGGACGGGCATCAGAGGCTAACCCTGTTCCAACCCCAGAGAGTTCTGTAACCAGGCGGGTCTGAGCCCCCGGGGACTGTGGGTAGCCAAGTGAATAGGGGCCAGACCTGAGGCTCACACAGCCCACATGACCTCGGACAACTCTTGACATCTCAGGAGCCTCACTTTCCATGTTTATAGATGAAGCTGATGAGCAAAACGCCTCAAAGGCTGGGAACAGCCAGGGCCCAGCCAGTCAGGGCTGGCTGGCACCCTCTACTCAGCCATGTTTGTACCACCCGCAGCACCTGGCCTCAGGGGTGAGAGCGCAATGATGAGGGAAGCAGACAAGAGAGTGAGTCAGGAGGGACCCTGAGGGGGTGCAGGGTGCAAGCCTGAGGGCCAAGGGGGCAGGTGGGGGAGCAAGGGTGGGTTCCACCTGCTCAGGTCCAGGAGGAGGGGGCGCTAGGAGGAGGGGTGGGTCTAGGAGGATGAGGAGATAGGGCAGGGTGGTCGGAGTAGGAGGAGGGGCAGGCCCAGGAGGAGGAGGGGGTGGGGAGCTCAGCACCGAAGCTTGGCCTGCTGGAGGTGAAAGTTGTCTTCCTGCTCCTCCCAGGTCTTGAAGTGCTCCGCCTCCTTCTCCCGCTGCAGCATCTCCAGCTCCTGCTCTCGCATGGCCTTCTCACGCTCCCGCTCTAGCCGCAGCTGCTTCACCTGAGGGCGCGTGCAGAGAGTGAGGGGGGACAGCAGACGATGGGGTCTCGTGGGGTCTGCCCTTATCCTCTCAGACTGTGGGGTTCCCCAGGGTTGGGGGAGGGGTACTGTTCCTGGCACCTGGCCCCTGTGGGCTGGCGCTGGACACAGGAATCGGTCCAGGGATGCCTGAAGCTCTGGACAGACCCTGGGGTAGAAGGGAACCCTCTTTCTGCTAGAGACACAGTAGCTTTAGTGGCCAGGGCTGCTCTGGCCACCCAGCAGGGAGCACCTTAGAATAAATCCTGGAGGCCAGCAAAGCTGAGGTAGAGTCACTGCCTGAGCCTCTGGATCCAGCCATGCCTGAGGCCAATCTCCCCTGAACTTTCCGCGAAAGCCAAAAAGGTCCCCATGGACTTAAGCCAGGGTGAGCCAGACTCACTTTCTGTCTGCTTCCCTTGGATCCCTCAAGAGGGAAGCAGGGAACCCCGAGGCACCCCCACCTTTTGCAGCTCCAGACGGTTGTCTTCCTGGATCCTCTTGTTCCGCTCCTTCAGCTCCTTCTCCTCCAGGTGGCTGATCCCCTTCTTTTCCAGGGCCTGGAAGGGCCAACCACAAAGCCCGCTGAGACAGATGCCTCCTCCCACCACCCTCCCTGGGAACACCCAGCACTGCCTCCCACACTTCATAACTGCTCTACCAGCTGGGGACCCTCTAGGACGAAGCACCTGCTCTGCTGATGAGGGGTGTGAGGCTGAGGGAATCGGCTGCCTGCAGAATCAGCTCAGTCCACTCCAGCATCGTGGAGCTCTGTCCTGACCATGGAATCCCACCCTGCATGTGATGCTGAGACCCTGTTCTCCCATCCTGCCTGAGGTTAGGCTGGTTCTGTGGGTGGAGGGCCTGAAATTTTACACTACAGGAGACTGTCATCAGAGGAGAAGCTGCTGGAAGCTGGTACGTGTGCTCATGTGGGCACACAATGTCAGTGGCAGGTACAACCTGAGCATGTGCACTGGGAATGCTAAACAATGTCTTTGGAAATAAGCTGTAAATAGTGCATGAAGCAAAAAGACAGAAAGGACTGGCAAGCAGCCAGTCTGGCTGCCCAAGGCTCACCTTGTTCCAGATGAAGGTGCCCAGCAGGTTGTTATCACCAAAGGGGTTGTCGGTGTTGGTATAACCCATGTACTCCTCGCCCCAGCCCATCTTCTCCCGTTTCTTCCGCTCCTTGGCTTCCTTCTTGGCCAGCCGGCGTGCCCGCTTCTCCTCAGGAGTCTCGAAGGCCTTCATCAGCTCCTCCTGCTGCTTTCGTTCTTCGCGCAGCCGCAGGCGTTCCTGCAGGCTCTGTCGCTGACTCAGGGCCGCCGCCGCTGCCTCCCGGGGGCTCTGTGAGTGGTCCCTGGATGCAGAGCTGGATGCCGAGGAGCCTGGGGACCAGGAACGTGTCCGCTGCTGCCGCTGCCGGCGAGCCCATTGGCCCCGCTGCTGCTGCTCATCATTTGAGTCAGACTGAGAGGAGCGGTCCTGGGAGCGCCGGTGGGCAGCAGGGGGGCTCCGGCTCTGCCTGCCTCGCCGTGGCCGCTCCTCTTCTGAATCTGACCTGTGGAGGGAACCCAAAAAGCTCTGCTTGCTGCCTGCTGGCCAGTCACCTGTCCCACTGCCATTGACTGGGCAGGCACCTGCTGGGGGCCAGGAGCTGGTCTAGGTTCTGGAACATGGCAGTGAGCCAAACACTGATGGTCCCTGCTTTTGTGGGGCTCACATCAACAAGTGTTAACACTAGATGGGACCATGAACCACTAGGATAGTGACAGTGCATTAGGGCATGCAGAGGTCAGAGAGGAGCTCACTAAGAAGGTGATATTGGAGGAAGTGTTGGGGAGCTACGGGGAGATCTGGAGAGAGTGATGGGGCAAAGGGCACAGCAGGAGCAAAGGCCCTTGGGCAGGAATTCATTTGGCATATTTAAACAGCAGCAGGCAGGCCTGTGTGACTGGAGCAGAGTGAGTGAGGGGGAGCATGGGAGGGAGGGCAGGAGGGCCAGTGGCCTGGGCCAGATGGTGAGGGAACTATAAGCTCTGTCCAAGGTGTCCAGGGGGGCTTCCCTGGTAGCTCAGTCATAAAGAATTTGCCTGCAATGCAGGAGACATGGGTTTGATCCCTGGGTTGGGAAGATCCCCTGGAGAAGGAAATGGCAACCTACTCCAGTATTCTTGCCTAAAGAATTCAACGGACAGAGGAGCCTGGTTAGTTCATGGGATTGCAAAAAGAGTCAGACGCAAATTAGCGACTAAACAACAATAACAAGGTGTCCAGGGAGGGCTTACAGAAAGAAGGTGGTGTTTACCTGGCTCTGTAGGACAGGTAGGAGTAAGACTGGCGGGAATACAGAGCCTTGACGGGGCAGGTGAGGAGGGCAGGCAAAGTATGAACTCTAGGGATAGATTCTTTAATGTTGGGGGCCTTTGAGCAACTAAATCTGTCTTTATTTTGTCCAATGCTCCACCCATTAAGCTCATGACAAAAAATTTACATCTTGAAAACCAATTATTTGGCATTAAACAAAAACTACAAATTTGGTCAAATCTTCATAAATGAGATTGATTTTCATGACCTATCTAGAGTGGCTAATTCTTGTGAATAACTAAAATTTTAGAAACCAATAGGTGACAATAACAATTTATTGCTACCCACAAACCACTGCTAAAACATCAATATTAAATGTTAAACCAGAGTCAGCAAACTTTTTCTGTGACGAGCCAGATGGTCTATGGCACAGCAACTCAATTCTGCTATCACAGGGCAAAAGTGGCCCACGAACAGCACATGAACAAACGGGCATAAGTTTGTTCAATAAAATTTTATTTCTAGACACCAAAACTTGAATTTCATGTAATTTTAATGTGTCATGAAGTACTACTCTTTTGTCTTTCCCATCCCACCCCCTCTCCTCAACATTTAAACATGTAAAAGCTATTCTTGGTCCACAGGCTGTAGTTTACCAAATCCTGGTTTAAACCATCTCTTTACTAATTTCACTGCTTTTATCTTCCTGGAATTCCTGGGTGGCAGTGATCTTATGAGATTCAAAAGTAAAAGCCACCTTTCCAAACCTAGAGGGTGATCAGTGGATGACAGCCACCCTGGCTATGGTGTGGCGAACAGGCTGGAGGGATGGGAGACAGTGCATGCTTCCAGAGCCCTTGTGGAGATCCTGAGGGCACAGATGACATAACTTGGATGAAAGTGGGGCAGGGACTGCCAGTTATAGGCTGAGCCAGCAGTAGAACCCAGCTCTGAGAGTCAGTCCCTATTTCCATGCTGATTCCCTTGTGCTGGAGCAGACTCAAGCAGATTCAAGTCAAGTCTGGTCAGGTGCCCCATCTCCAGAAGAAAAGGGCTGTGGGCAGATGGGAAGCTGAGCAACAAGTCCGAATCCTGCCACTGTCATCAACGGTTCTTCTCTCACACCCCATGAACAAGTGTTGTCACTTCTACTTCAGAAATCCCTCTCCAATTTACCCACTTTCTCACTGTACCTTCCCACAGCCTCCCCTCGAGAAAGCCAGCCTGGACAACTGTTAATACGTTCCTGCTCCTTGGTGTCACTCCTGCAGTCCCGCTGAGTCCCTTCTCCACGCTAAAACCAGTGGGAATTGCGCAAGGTAATCCAGACATCACTTCTTGGTTCGAAATCCTCCACAGCTCCCTACTCCCCTCTAAACAAACCTCAAATGCTTCATGACGGTACACAAGCCAGCACGATCTGGTCTCCCGCTTCCTCTCCGACCTCATCGATTCCCCAACGCCTCGTTCCTGGAGCCTCTCGCTTTCCTATCGCTGCCTGGTTAATTCCGACGTGCTCGGACGTCCCCTTTTTCGGGAAGCCCTCCCTGACTAACTCGAGGGGCTCTCAGCTAACCAAAGGCTGGAGCTGGACCTACAGCGCGGCTCAAACAGCGACCCTACCTGCGCTCCCGACTCCTTCGCCTCCGTCTGCGTCGCCTCTCGTCGTCTCGGCGACGCCGGTTTCGCCGCCCATGGCTTCCACTCCGACTTCGGCTCCGACTCCCGCTCCGGCTCCGTTGCCTTCGACCTCTGCGACCAGCGGACCGCGAGCGCGAGCGTGTATCCCGACCCATCGGCTGGGACGGTGGAGACGGCGCTGACACAAATACCCGGGGCCTGTGACTGGGGCCTTCCTCGCTTGTGGCGCGTGCCTGGTTGCCCCACCCACGCCTGAGCAGGGATATTGGAACCCATCCTGTCGCCCCATGCTGCGGGGACTTCGATCCTCCTTAACCTCTCCACTGCCCTCAATGTGGCCTAAGTGATGGACTCCTGCCGGACTGTCGCCGCCAGAATTTGGGATTCGCTCTTCAGGCAATACTAGGGGCAGGCCCAGGCGGGTCCTAGCGCTTTAGCGAGTCAGAGGAGCAGTGGGCGGAGCAAATGCGAACGAGGACCTGTAAGGGGCGGGGTCAGGGGCGGGACCAAAAAGCCGGCCCAGAGAGGAAGAGCAGTCGGCATGGGAGGGGCCTAGGAGGCGTGGTCAAAGAAGGCGGGGTCTCTGGGGCGTGGCCTAGGAGGCGAGTCTTGCGGGCGAACTCTCGCTGGTCTTGAGGCGGGGAAGCCTCCAGACAGTAGGTTTAAATCCAGACTGCTCCAGGAGACGAGGGGTGGGAGCTGGAATGGAAGCCGAAAAGTCTTAGATGATGGGCTGACCCTCTGTGAGAATCCTCATCATGCTACACCACTGCCAATACTTGTGTTTCCTGGATCAAGCTTTAAAAAATCATTTGCATAACGTTTTAAGTTCCTCATTAACTCATTTTATAGATGGGGAAATTGAGGCTAAGAGAGGGAAAGTCACTCCAAAACCCCGCCAGCAATGAGCCAGTGTAGCGCTGTGATTTGAACTTGGTGGCCCATCCGCCTTTGTCCTGTAGGTGCGAACCATGGGAGGGCTGTGAGCAGGGAGGGATATAAGGGGTCTTTAGGTGGAGTCCCTGCAGGGCCATTAGAGAGCGGCAAGACCACAGAGGGGCGAGATTGGAATCCCGAAGAGCTGGAGGAGGCCAGAGTCCTGCTCTGAGTTCCTCAAACCCCACCCCAGGGGATGGTGCTTAATTCTTTAAGCCAACTCTTTAAATGTGTAGAACACAACTTCCAGACACCATCCTAGATGCTAGCCTTGCATATTCTGCTTGGTGCTGCAGCGTGGGTTGGTGGGTGATGGCATGGAGGCAACCCTTGATAACTGCCTGTCTTGGGATGTGGGTTGTCCTGATGACAGGCTGGCCCAAAACGTGATTTTCCCCACCCGGATGCATCCTTGAGCATATCTCCTCTGACCATAAGGGGAACATAGTTGTGATCACCTAGCCAACAAGCTGTGCCATCTGTGCCTGGGATCAAAACTGGGTTGCCAAGGGCTTGCTTACAGACAGGATCTTGTTTTCAATGCAGTGTTTCTCAAACTGGGAGTCAGGGAGAAATATTTTCCCCTTAGAAGGGGTCCATGCATTACTCAGTTTGATGGACTGGCAGAACAGTCTCTGGGGAGTGTGTGCTCCTGAGGTCAGCTTTTATTTACTTTAAAAAATCTTTTTGGCCAGGCAGCATGTGGGATCTTAGTTTTCTGACCAGGAATCAAATCTGCGTCCCCTGCAGTGAAGTGCAGTCTTAACCACTTGCTTGTCAGGGGAGTCCCCTGCAGTCAGTTTGAAAAAATTTTTTCCAAGCCAAAGTGGAAGCCAATGCTACTAAAGCATTTGGGTCCATTGTTGATCTTATTTATTGTGATTCTTACTAATGTTTCTTTGTGTTCTCCTTCAAACTCAGTCTTTAAACTCCCACCCAGACTACCAGAGAGAGAGAGAGAGGTGGCTGATGCTTATTACCCGATTTATTAGAGATCTCGTCAACGTAAAAAGGGGTGGGGTGGGGTGGCAGGGATGGGGCGGGGGAGGATCTGGGGCTGCATACGAGTGTTATGGGGCCAGCAGTGGCTGCGGTCACAGAGGCGCCCACGGCTCTGGGTTTGAGCGGGCCAGCGTCCTGCGCCCGAGGAGGCTGAGCCCCGGATTGTCACACACCAGACCACGGGGGCTGAGCACACGGGACCCCCAGTGAGATTAAGACACACAAGGTTTGCAGTTTTGTTGTTTGGAAATCAGTTGGGCCATAAAAATGGGGTTGGGGTGGGGACGGGCAATGCAACCAAATCACCAGAGGTGACTGAGGGTGCCTGTTCTGGGGTGGGGACCAAGGGGCTGCGGCGACAGTACCATGGCAGGGGACCCCATGGGGATGGGAGTATTGCACTGAGCCAGGTGGTGAAGGGGGCGAGAGGAGGCTGATGATGGCGGCTGGGAGGGGACACGCGGGAGGTCCCACCTTGTCAGTCTCAGGACACACCTTTCCCGTGTACAGTACAGCACGGCAGACAGTGCCCACATTCTCAGTGATAGCAGCTGTCAAGGATGAGCTGGGATGGACGAGCTGGGGCATCACCATCCAGGAGTTGGCAGATTTCTATCCTGGGGGTGGGATGACAGCTGGGTGGGTCCAGGGCCCTTACTGTTGGGGGTCTGGGGAAGGCCGTGAGTTCACTGCATGTTATAAATAAGGTCTTGCCTTCCCACCCTCTCACCCTGACCATAAGCACACGCTTTCTGGCAGCCTAGTCTGAGACCACCTTGCATCCATGTGACAGGTCTCTGAAAAAGGGACAAAAAAATACAACCAACACAAAGGGGACTCTGAAGGGGTATTCATGACTTAGCACGGGAATGAAAACATCATGATGTCCAGGAGGTTTGCAAATTTCTCCAAGTGAGCATCTGTCTGTGATTCACTCAGGAAAGCCCCGGGGCCCTGCTCCCCGGCTCCAGGTGGCTGAAGGCGCCCTGGACATGGGGCCTACGGCTCTGGTCGTCCCCACAGGATGCACCACATCTCTGCAGCTGGCCTTGGGGGCCTGGGCAGGGGCTCTGATGTCGGCATTGGGGTGACATAACAGTGGCTATTAAGTCATCTTCAGACCTCTGCCCATTCAGCCCACCTCCTCTGGGTGGGACAGGGCACCGACTGGGGACTTGTGTGCATGGGGCACTGTGGACGGTGCCTTGGTGGAAGTCCAGGTGAGGATGCTCCAGGGTCTGGACACACCCTTGTGGGTAGGAGGGGAGCAGAACACCTGCAGGATTTTTCTGATGGGTCCTCTTCCCCAAGCCTCGTGCTGTGGCATCCTTGGTGGCCCTGTGAGGAGAGAGCCCCCGGGGCACAGCCCGAGGAGGGGTGCAGCCAGCCAACAGGCTCCATCCAGGTGCACAAAGCAGGCTGTGCCACGGGAGGCGACGAGGGGCCCTCGTAGGAAAGGACAGCAGTGTACACAGCTTGCAATGAACTTGAAAATTAGATCCTGGCTTGGCAGGTTCTCCAGACATCTCAGGCTCCACCAGGGAGGCAAAGGTGGGAGTTCTTCTGCAAAGTGCAACTTCCACTCCACTCTGGCTCCCAGCTCCTCCCACGCAGGGCTGGGTGGGCCAGGTGAACAATCCCTGATGCGTCCCTCTCCGGAGGCAGGCAGGAGAGACCCTGCAAAGCTGTCAGCTCCAGCAGTCGCCTATGGACGCAGCGGGGCCCCTGGCAGTCGCCCTGTGGGGCTCTGGGCCCAGAAGTGGGACCATATAAAAAAAACATTGTTTTTTCACCAAGAATTTCTTCTCCTGTCCTTCACTCGGTACAGATGTCTCCATCATTTAAAAGAGAGAGGATGCCCACCTCAGTCCTTTTAAAGGAGGGGGTCTGGTCTTCTAGCCCTGGCGGCCTGCCTCGGGGGGCTCCCCTTCAGGACACAGACCTTGGGAAGTCCCAGGGCCTCAGTGCCTGGCTGCCTCTTCCTGGCTCAGCCCATCTTCCAGAGGAGAGTGAAGCCCACAGCCGAGCTCCACTGAGTCAGGGCAGCTATGTGTCCACATGGAGGTTCTCATCACGCCTGGGGATTCCTGCTCACGGTCACAGGGGAAGCAGGGAGACAGATGCTGAGAGATGGCAGGGCCACTGGTGAAAGCCATCCCCAGCCACCACTGTGCTGCCCTCAAGGATGGTGTCCAGCTCTCTCGGCCCAAAAACCTGAGCCAACAGTGCTTGGCAGTCGCAGTGTGCAGCCTCCAGAGGCACCCTGGGGAACATGGTGGTCCTTCGGTCCTAGGGGCCTGTCCATCCCGGTCCAGACCTAGAGTGGATTCCGCTGGGGTGCAGTTCCCTCAGCAAGACATGCAAGCACAGCAATGAACCAAAAGTGCAGTGAAATAGAGTTTCTTCTTTTCCATTGTGGGTTTTTTTTTTTTGCCTTTTCCTTTTTCTTAAAAAACACACATGTGTGTGCTACCATGTCTGTGCAAAGAATAAGGACCCAAAATAAATACATGATCGGAAATGCAGGAGGGTTCACAGTATCAGGCGTAGGTAGTTGTCGGGGAGCCAGGGCAGGGCAGGCCGTCTGGATGGGGGTCGCTCAGCAGCCAGGAGTGTTGGTGTCATCAGGGGAGGACGAGGGTGAGGGCTGGCTGCCAGGCGGGCATCTCCCGAGCTCTGGGCTGAGCGAGGCGGGCAGTGCCTCCAGGAAGCGGCCGGGGCAGCAGCGGGCACTCGGCTCCGGGTCAGTGTCTGCATAGGAATTACTGCAGAGGCAAGGGGGCGGGTGAGCTCGGGCCAATCCCCACCCGCCCGGCCTCCCGTGGCTAATGTCACAAGCCAGGGACCCCAGGAGCCGTGAGGGCTGGACACAGGCCATGGTGCGGCAGAGCCCGGCTGCCCCTCCCACTGGAGACCTCAGTTTCCCCACTGGTCCCAGAGGTGTCTGGGGGTCAGGTCCTCAGGCCCTCCTGGGCCAAGGCCGTGGTCTGAGCCCCGAGTGGGCCCGGCTGGCCAGCCATGGGCTCACTTACTGTGTCGCTCTCGCCGTCGGAGGCAGGCTGGGCCTGAGTGCTATAGTGAAGCGGGGAGTACACCCAGCTCCTCTCATCGGTGGGCTGCAGGGCGGGTGGGCGGGCGGGCGGCACGTGCAGGAGGGGCGCAGAAGAAGAGCAGGGTGTGAGGAGGCGCGAGAGGCGACAGGGAGGAAGGAAGGAAGAAACAGAAATAAAAGAGGGGGACCCCCAACGTGGGACGAGTGGGCGGCTCAGCCCCCGTGCCCTCTCCCTGACAGGACCTGCCCCAACCTGGATGGCCCTTGGGCCTGGTGGGGCAGGGGCCGGGCCTCCGGGGCTGAGTGGCCAGAGCGTGGCAGGGGGCGGGGTTGGCAGCGGGAAGCGGCGCGTGGGTCAAGAGCCGGCACAGCAGGAGGGGGAGGCGGGCGGGGCTCAGTTTGCTCTGCTGTCCGCCCACCCCCGGCCCTCTAACCTCTGTCCTAGCCTGGCAGCACCCCAGCTTCAGGCCTGCCTACCACTGGGGACTGCCAGCTGGAGCAGCACCCTGGGGACGCACTGCGGGGGTCCTGGATGGTAAGGGCACAGGGTGGAGCCCACTTCCAGCCCTGGAACACACAGACCTGCTCCGGGACCGAGGCAGGTGCCCCCCAGAGAGCAAGCAGCAGAGGCCTCTCTGCCCCATGCCTGGGGCACAGGGATGCCTTCCTGGGGAGGGGCACAGGCGGAGTGGGGACTAGCCACCAAGGGGCCCCTGGGTCTGGGAGGGGCAGGCTGATCTTTCTCCATCCGTGTCTGGGCAGGGGTCCCAGGATGGGCTCACCAGGGGGAGAATGTACTCTTCCCCAGCCCTCCTCGCCCTTCCTAGGTCTGCCCTCACCACCAGAGCCCTCCTGAGCCTGGCAGCTTCCTTGGGGCTCCCCAGCCACCTTCTTGTCTTTATTCTTTCCCCCCACTGCACGCCGGCCTTCAACACCCCACAGCCTGTTACTTCCACCCCAGCCAGAGCACACACCTGTCCTAGCCACGCCCCCCGGGCTGTCTTATGGCCCCTAAACCCACCACGGCCCCCCAGACCCAACCCTCCTTGGCCCGGCTGGGAGGATCATCAGCAACCAGCCTCTGACCTCCTGCCCCTCGGGGTCTACCTGTTCCAGGTACCTACACAGCCCCTGCCTCTACACCTGCTCCACCCAACTTTCCCCACAGCTCACAGGCCACGATGGTACCCACGTGGACCCAGAAGGCCCAAGAAGGCTGTGTCCCCACGTGGGCGGGTTCCCACAAAGGCACCCAGAGGCAGGGCAGCAGGATGAGACCCAGTGCAGGCCCTGCTCGTGCCTTCAGGGGGTCACAGAGCCACAGAACCCATGTCTGGCCACGTGGGAGCCCAAGGCACAGGTACAGGCCTGTCTGTGGCCACAGCAGGTGCTGACGCTGGGGTGGTAGCCCTGCTGGGCTCAGAATGTGGGTGACACAGGGGTCCCCAGGAACCCTGTGATGAGCTGGCCCTGGGTGACCCACAGAAGTTGAGTTCAGGACATGCCTGCCCTGCACAGCAGGCCTTGGGGTCCAGTCTTCCTCCTGCCACTCCCTTGCCTCCCTCTCCAACCATCGGCCCCCAGTATCTGATTCTGTGGTGCCCCAGTGAAGATAGCCCTTCCTCTTCCACCTCCCCACACCCCAGGTGCATCTCAGAGCCCGCCTGACCTCTTCCAGATGGCCTTTGCCACTGGCTCCCCTCCCCATGGCCCTTGGGCACCATGTGTCCCCAGCTCTGGGACCATCTCTGGGGTGCAGTGTCCCCGGCTGGACCAAGCGTGGAGGGGATCTCCCCTTTTCAGGCTTGCTCGGCAGCGCATGACACCTAGCGACACTCAGAGGGACGACTGATGGGGCTGGAGTGTGGCCTCTGAGGAGCCTCAGCTTGAGAACACAAAGGCACGTGTTAGATCTTTGCCCTGTTCTGCCCACTGGGCGCTGCGTGCCTCTGGGAGGGCAGCTGGCCTCTCTGGGCCCCCCGTTTACTGCTCACGATGACAATAACGAGCACTAACAATGCCACTGCCACACAACATCCCCACAGCATCCCAGATACGCCAGGTGGACAAGTGTTTATTAGACATACGCCTGAAGTTTGGGACCTAGATTTTGTCTACACTACATGCTCGTGGGCTACCTGGGGAGCCAGGGTCTGTTTCTCCATCTGTGAAATGGGTACAGAGACACCAACTCCTCTCTCCTGTAATTAAGAGTTTGGCTTTGTGGTCCTTCCGCTGACCCAGGAGGAGGTCACCCCCTTCAGGGGACAGGCGCTCTGGGAGTGCTGTCGGCAGCAAGATCTGAACAAGTAGGAGCTGTCCACGTGACACGCCCCTGACCCAGGAGTGCTGGGACGAGGGGCAGGGGCGGCTGGGGGCTGGGGGTCAGATGCCGACCCTGCCATGGCCAGGCTGTCCCTGGGAGCCGCAGCAGTGTGCCCGCAGGTGCCATGACGCCCAATTCAGTGGGGAGTAAACGTCCCCACAGGACGCCCACAGCCCAGCGCCCCATGAGGGCCAGCGTGGCCGACCTCAGCCGCAGTGATGTTTTCCCCATGTCCCTTCTTGGAGGAAGAGGGACCAGGACTTGTGGCTCCCTGCTGCCCAGGGCGCGGGGTGGGGCCTGGCTCCCTGGAGGCCTGCCGTGGTCACTTACAGTCCCTGAGGAGCTCAGCGTCACGGCCCGCAGTCGGCGATGCCGGGGAGAGTAAATCCAGTACCTCCCATCGGTGAACTGGGCGGGCCGGGCGGGCGGGGGAGGAAGCAAACAGAGGACAGGATGAAGTGATAGGACGAGGCCACGGGAGTCTGGCGGGCGGGCAGGCGGGGAGGGCATCGGGCGGGGCAGGTAAGCTGTGCCAAGCGGGAAGAGGGGATTGGTGTCCCACTGGCTTTCTTCTCTGCTGCGTGCCGGGCCTGGCTGCAGATCCGGGTTTCACGCCCCCGACTCCTGACAGGACAGGGCCCCTGAGGCCGCCTCACACACAGATCCAGAGGACGGGACAGATCAGCCCCGCTGGGGTGGGGATCGGGGGGAACACAGGGTGCGCTCGCTTGGTGCCCTGCAGGCCAGGCAGCATTGGCTTGGGGACTGAGAGCAGGGGGCTGTTAAGAAGCAGCGATGTCAGCAGGAGGGCCAGGCTCACCCAAACAGCCCCGAGGCCCAGTGCTGGGCAAGGGCAAGGTTGGGGGTCACAGGTGAGAATGAAAGTCTGGGAAGAGGACAGCAGGCAGGGCTGGTGTTTGGCCCTCTCTGCTGTAATCAGGACCATCTGATTCCGGAGCGGGGCATCCTGGGGAGACAGCTCAGGACCCACTGTTAGGGGTGGGGCAGTCACTGGACTGGGCTTTGCGGGCTCCCAGGCCCCCTAGGACCCCCTTCATCCAGGTTCCTGCCTGCCTGTGGGAGGTGTGAGGGGGAGGAGATGGCCAGCTCTGGAGGGAGGTCCCAGGTACCCAGGGGAGGGCCCCCTCCTGCTCTGACAGACCCCACCTTGTCCAGGAGCACCTGTGAATCCTCGTCCCTTGAGGCCGGCAGCGTGGAGCCCACCTGCCCTGGCCTCTCTAAGCACGGAGCCTGCCCGCTGTACCCACTACCCGGTGAAAGAGAAGGTGTGTGTCATGCCAGCCCCACGGTCAGCCTGGGCCTCCCCTTGGGCCAGGGGGCTGAGCACGCCGGGACTCCAGACGCCTCCCCAGGCCCCGCTGGGCGCAGGGCCAGATGTGGGCACGAGGCTGGGGAGGATGGCGGGGGCAGGGCGCTGCCACATCACCTGAGAGTGAGCTAGTGTGAGGTGAGCACACACTCGTGCCTGCGCCTGAGGGAGGCACCTGCAGGTGTGCACGAGTGCCATGAGCGTGCAACGCGTCCGTGGGAGTGTGTGAGGGAGTAGCGCGCCCGTGTGTGAATGGGGTGGACATGAGTGTCCGTGGGTTTGTATGGGCACGTCTACACACCCGTAAGCACAGGTGAGCGCGGGTGGTCGAGGGTCCGGCGACGGGAGGAAGCCCTGGGGGACTTACAAAGTAGATGTCCGTGGCGGGTGCGTCCTCCTCGTCTGAGGCCTGGCTGGCGGGCTCGGAGGCCTGGCTGGCGGTTTCCGCTTCGACAGCGGCAGAGGCACAGGCTGGGGACGCCCCCTCCCTGGGGACACGGGCAGGACATGGGAGTCCTGGGCGGGCTCTGGAAAGCACGCATCTCCCCCCTCCACAGCCCGGACCCTCCCCACTCCCTCCATCTCTCATGGAGACCACAGACGCAGGAAGTTCAACGGCAGGGATGGGTTCTGCCTGACACATTCTGGTTCCCCCACAAGACAGAACACCCCCAAGCACCACTGCTACCAAGGGAACCAGGAGCCCGGCTCCGAGCAGGTGGCCTGGCCCCCTCCACTCACTCAGGGGCACGCCTGTGGGCGAATCCCCGCCTCACCACTCACTCGCTGGGCAACCATGAGGACTACATTCTTTCTCAGGGCCTCAGTTTCCTCGCCTGTAAAGGGGCCAGAACCTTTTGCTCCTCTTTCCAGGACACTTCCTAGGTGCCAAGCCTGTTCGAGGGCCTGCTGTCCTGTGTTGTTGATTTGCTCAGTTAGTCTGACTCTCTTGGGACCCCACGTACTGTAGCCCACAGGCTCCTCTGTACATGGGATTTCCCAGACAAGAATACCAGAGTGGGGTGCCATTTCCTTCTCCAGGGCATCTTCCAGACCCAGGTAATGAACTCACGTCTCCTACATTGGCAGATGGGTTCTTTACCACTGAACCACCAGGAAAGCTCCTGTCCTGTGTTACAGATGAGGAAACTGAGGCACAGAGTGAAGGTGGGGAATGTGCTGGAGGCCACGGCTGGCGGCCATGTGATTAGTGAGAAATTCACTTCTCGGATGAGGAGCTCAAAACCTAATAATGTTAGAAATAAGTACCAAAAAGGTAAACAAAAAATCTTAAACACTTGAGACACCCCTGAAATGCCTCAGTCCAAGGTCTCGCCCTCAGTACTGTTGACAGTGGGCAGGTCATTCTTTGTGGGGGGCAGTCCTGGGCATAGTGGGGTGTAGGGCAGCCTCCCTGGCCCCCACCATGATGCCAGCAAACCCCCGAGTTTTGACCACCAGAGATGTCCCCAGACATCACTCACTGTCCCCAGAGGGCAGAATCACCCTCAGGTTGTTGAAAGCCACTATCTTAATTCAAAGAGGAAATTAAAAAAAAGAAGAAGAAAATTACTGCCCATCTGTACCTGAGCCAATATAAAAGAACTGCTTCATGTCAAACCCATGGCACATGGCAATAGCAGCACTCAGAGAAAAACACATAGCCTTAAGGGCCTCATTGTTAAAGAAGGAACTTAAGCACTCAACCTACACTGGAAAAAAGAAACAAGTGAAAAACAAACCAGAAGCAGCTAGAAAGAAGACATTACTGGTGAGTTAAAGTGAATGAGATAAAAAACAGAACACAACAGGGGACCAAGCTTAGTTTTTGAAAGCCTCATAGGTTACTGTCGTGCAAGCCCCGACAAAGCCAAGAGGATGTAGAGAGGAAATGAGGCAGGAAAAGTGACCTCAGATGACAGGGTGGCTCTGAGTCCTGGAGGAGGAAACCCTTCCCGGAGTGAAAGACCCACACTATTCCTGGCCTTCCGTGCCCCCTTCCCAAGCTGGAAGCCCCATTCCCACCCCTAGCTTGCACACTACTTTTCCCAGTCCACCCTGCGGCCAGCTGGCTACGTGACCACGCTCGGCCAATGAGACGAGGGCAGAACCCGAGACCAAGAACTAATCAATCTACTGTGGGGACCACTTACCCTGCATCTTCCTCCTTGGGGACCACGATCTCCACGCTGCACGCGGGCTCCACCTGCACTGTGATCTGCTGCAGGTCCTCCTCCGCGTGCATTTCCTCCTGGGGCCTGGAGGTAAAGGGAAGCCGCGCCTCAGTTTCCCTCCTCACCCCCTTCCGCCCTGGAAGTGCCTGCTGAGCTCCAGGCTGGTGTCAGTTTCCAGTTGCGGTAAGAAGCTTGGAGCTCCAGGAGGTGCTATCTCTGGGCGCCACTGGACCAGGGTCCTGAGCTGGCCCAGCTCATATCTGGTCCCTGGCTGTTCTGCCCACCTGGGGCTGCAAGAGGGCAGTGACTGACCATCCACCTGGGGCTAGCCTGTGACTCTGGCACCAGCTGGAACATAATGAGTGAATGGGGGTCTGGATCCTGCCCACCCCCTGGGGGCAGCTAGGCACCTGCCTGGGGCCTGCACTAGGGGGCTGGGGTGGTCCTGGGGTTCCAGGCCTAGATGCCTGATGTAGGTGGGTCAGAACATGCCAGCAACCGGGTGCGCAGATGGCACACCTCCCTGGACGGCAATACCGGAGAGCAGACGGGTGGCTGACGTCAGAGCAGGTAGCTGGACAGAGGGTGACGCACATGACTTTTTTTCCAACTGGCAGAAATTATTGCCCCCTGAAAACTAATTACAGAAAACACCCCCTCTTTAGTCCAGGCCTGTTACAAGATCAGATAACTGGGAACAACCCACGTGCCCGGGAGGGCAAGTCACAGCCTGTTAGAGAAAGGAGACCAGCATCTACTCCACCTGTTCACACAGGTGACCTGCTGCCAGCAGGTGACACAGCAAAGGGCGGGGCAGCGCCCAGAGCGCATACTGGTTGAAATGAGAGGGAGAGACAGGCCCGAATGTGTGTCTTTTTGTATATTCACAAATGTCTCTGGCAAGAGACAAAAAAACCCGTCCGCGGGTTACTCCCAGAGAGGGGAGCGGGCATGGGGCAGGGGGCAGGCTTTTCTGTTTTTCTATTTGTATTTCTCACAGTAAAAATATCAATAAGAGAGACAGAAAGAATAACCAGCAGGCAAGTGTGGGAGATGAGTCCTCTGGGTACTGAGGTGGAAGACAGACTCTGAGTGACCTGACGGTCTCTGCGCTTCTAGAGCCTGACTTGAATCTGTGCTCAGAACGGTGTGGTCAGAGAGGAAGGGCTCTGGTGGGGAAGGCGGAGGAGGGACGGGGGCAGGCGGTAGTGGGGGAGAGGGGAGAAGAGACAGGAGAGAAGGGAGAGGGCTGGGGTCTCATCTCACCGGCCATCCTGTCCCGAAGACTGTGTGCGCCGCCTGCAGAGAGACCAAGAACACGTGGGAAAGCGGGGTGAGGCCCCTCCCAATCAACATCCTGCCCACCCCAAGACCCTGACCATCCCGCGGCCCAGGGATACGGTCAGGTCTACTCACCTGTACCGCGGCTGCTCCGACGACTCTGAAGGGGACCGCTCTGGGATGGAGAGGGACGTGGAGGACAGGGTTGTGGCGATGGAGGCGGTGGTGGCCTCCTCAAAAGATGGCGGCGTGCAGGGCAAGAGGTCCGGCCGGCCTATGGGGAGGAGCAGGTGGGTACCTGTGCAAGCCAGGCGCCCAGGGCTGCTCCTGGGAGGCCTCTGAGCTCTACCTGCAACTTGGCTCACCCCCAACTATCCATGCCCTCTCTCTCACCCACCGCCTCACACTGTTGTCCCGGCCAGCTTCAGGAGGGGAAATATGCTCCAATTTTCCCCTGGTGTAAGGCCTTCCAGTACCTATCCCCTGCTCTCAATTAAAAAATCCCCTCAGGGTCCTGCTCCACTGGCCTCTCTGCCTCGCTCTGCTTCAGCCACACACACTTCTCGCTGTTCCCCGGAAACCCACAGGCTAGGCCCCGTCCTGCCCCCCAGGCCTTTGCACAGGCAGTGTCTCCCTTCCTTGATGCTCCCCCCCACCACGCCCGCCCCTCCCTGCCTGGAGCCTCTGACCCAGGAGATGGGAGGGACCTTCCCGAACACCAGGCTGACCCCATTAAGCACTTCATCCCCCTAGATCTCTGTGCATCTCTGATGTAGCCGGAGCCTGTCACCTGAGGGTCGGGGGTGGGGGGTGAATTCTGTGCTCAGCTCTCACTGTGGCTCTTCCAGGGGCCCAGTCCCAGCTGCTGCCCACTTCTCAGCTGCAGATCTTGGGCTGAGGGGGGTGACTGTGACCCAGCCCCTCCCATCCAGATTGGCCCAGCACAGGGGCCCCTCCCTTCTCAGCCCCCTTGTCTCCCAGCCACCTGCTCACCCTCGTCCTCCAGTGTGGGGTAGCTGCGGGCCCCCCGCAGGTCATACTGTGCATCCTCCCGCTCGCTGGGGATCTGGCTGGCCGAGAAGGCGGCCGTCGGCCCCAGGGGCTTGATGGCCAGCAAGGCACCACGGCCCTTCTTGGACGGTGAGGACTTCAGGGCTGTGGAGGGAGGGCGGCTGGTGCTGGGGAGCCCGAGCCCCACAGCAGCACCCAGACAGGGCCCCACAGCCCCCAGAGCCTCCTCTGTACCAAAGCCTGGCAGCCCCACTGCCCCACCTCAGCCTGTCTGCCAACACACTTCGCTCTTGCTCTCGGTAGGGGAAGCCTGCCCTACATTCCAGCTGGCTTGCCGGCAGGGGCAGGGTGGGGGTGCAGGAGCCCAGGTGCCCTGTCCTGCCCACTGGCAGAGATGGGATCCCAGAACTCCCACTCTAGCCCCCTGGAAACAGCAGTAGATCAGCAGCTGCCAATGTTTACTTAGCACTTTGGGGCCTGAGCCCCCGAGTCTCAGCCTACCTGACTCTCAGACATGGAAGCCAAGGGCCTGGTTCCCATCCAGGCTGCATGGCTTTGGGGCCCCCGAGCCCCCAATCTGCAACAATGGGTCAAAGGAGGCAAGAAAATCCTGACACACCTTCCACACCACCCTGGCCCCACCAAGGCCTGTCACCAGCCTCTCCCGTGCCTCCGGTGGCCGCTGCCCCACACACAGTAGTTGCTCAGTTTGCCTTACACAGCCATCAGTCCCGGAGGCTGAGGAACTGCCTGGGTCCCCAGCTCTATGCTACGTCCCAGAGGGGCCACCCCAGCTGCCCCGTTCCCTGGACCAAGTCCCTGACTATGTCCTAGGGCTGGTGAACGGAGGACCAGGACCCTGGGTTTACCCTGCTCTTGACCTCCCACCTTTCTCCCTCTGCACCCCCACCCAGAGGGCCCGGGCACTCACAGGAGTTCTTCCGGAAAACTGTGTTGCTCATGAACTTGAAGAAGCGCTCGGCATAGAAGCTGGGCCGGTGGACGGAGACTGTGTCCTGGGAAGGGAAGGGGGGCCTGAGGGCAGGCAGGGGATGAGGGCTGGGGTGGGGCCCGTGGGAGCCCCCATGTCAGGGCTGGTATATCACCTTGGTGGGGATGGGACCCTAGGAACCAGTAGTGGTGGCAGAGACAGGGAGGCAGGGAGATGGTTTCGTGGTAACGGTGTCCATATTTTTAATTGTTGACCCTCATGAATAAAATGGCTATTCAAAGAAGTAACTGAATAAACATCAAAATCAAGACACTGCAAAGAACCTCTAGAGCTGGGGGGTGGAAGGAGAGTGCAGCTGACCCTGCTGCAAAGGAAAGCTTTGTCCTGGGGGCAGGCAGACCCGCTCCCGCACGCATGGCGGGGCAGCCCTGGCCACGCACTGCTCGTCGGTGCCCCCGGGTGGACCCGAGCCTGCTGGGCAGGCCAGGACGCAGGGCTGGGGTGCCTGTGAGGCAGGGAGCCCGGCACACAGTTGGGGTGCCATACTGCAGGGCCCCTGGGTGCACACCCTGGCTGTCCCTGGATCCAGTCTGCTCACTTGCTACGGCATTATCTCCCCAGCACTGCTGATCGCAGGCCAGTCGTTCTCTGGGGGTCCATCCTACGCCCTAGGGTGGCACCAGCATCCCTGGTCCGCACCCACTAGATCCAGTGTGACCACCAGAGACGTCCTCAAACTGCCTGGCAGCCTCCCCCGGCTATAATGTAACAGAACGCATCTGGACACAGGGCCTCTCTCCCATCCTGGCCTGCCCTGAGGTGGTCACATGGCCTCGGGGACTCGTCCTGGTTGATGGTGAGTGAACAAAGACAGCAGAAGAGTCTCTCCGCCCCAAGAAGAAGATACCTCTCTCTCTGGCTGGAGCCAAAATGGGGGCTGCCATCTGGGCCAGGGCCCAAGGGCAACGTCTGGGGTGTACAGGGACACACAGGAAGAAGCTGGCCCCCAGTACTGTGGCGCCACCCTACCAGTCTCAGGTTTCACACACCTGGACGGTTACTTTTTTTCAGCCATGGTGCATGTATGGCAAGCGGGATCTTAGTTCCCCAACCAGGGACTAAACTTGCGCCCCCCATGATGGGAGCTTGGAGTCATGACCACTGGACTGCCAGGGAAACCCCTAGATGGTTACTTTGATGTTTGGGTCCCTCTGGAGCTGACTTTGATCTTCTGACAGGGTTGCGACCCCTCCATCTGCTTTCCCTTCTGCTGTGGGTTCACTGCACAGAAGGGTTTCTGGCCAGCCCCACCCAGGAGGGAACATTCTGAAAGCTCGAAACACTCTGAGGCATAGTGGGGGAGGCTATTGGGACCTTGGGTTTTGCAGACTGCACACACACAGACAGCCCTCAGCACTCAAGTAAGAACTGGCCTATGGAAGCTACAGCGGGAGAGGCCTCTGCCTAAGGGTCCACAGCGGACTAGGGCCACAGAAGGACAGTTTAACCCCAGCAGTTGGTCCTCACAGTATTTTACACTTTGAAGTAATTCACTGCAAGGGTTTACGGGTAGGCTGTGCTCACAGGAAGACACGAATTTCCAGCTTTTTTTTTAACAACTGAGCCCAACTGTGTAAGCAGGCCCAACCTGCAGGGTCAGCAGGGTCAGAGCTGTGCAGTGCTGCCCAAGATCCCCTCCATGTCACACTTCCAGAATGTTCCCTGCCTGACTGGCCCCTGACTTTCCCAGCCTGCCCTTACTTCTGACTCACTTGGGGCCCCCAGTCCCGTCCCTCGGGAAGCCTGTATGCTAAGCCTGAACCCTCACAGATGGCTCGGGCCCCTGGTGCAGGGGTCTCATGGCTGCCTCACTGCCTTGTCTTGGCCCTGAGCCCCTGGCCTATGACTGTGGCTCCAGAAAAATGGACGTGTCCCTCGGCTCTTTAGCACCCAGGTCTGACCCAGGGTGATGGTCAGGATGTTTGCGGATGGCTAGACAGAATAAACAAGTGGAAGATGCTCACGCCATCGTGGACAAGAGCCTTCCAGGTGTGTTCCAGCTTCTTGATGAACCTGCAGAGGAGAAAATGCCCAGGACATCAGCCACACCTCTACGTCTGGAGGAGGTCTCTTCCAGGCGAGCTCATCCCAGGGCACACAGGTAGTCTCCAGGGACCTTTGCGGTCATTATGACTGGGAACGTTCCTGGCATCAAGGGGGCAGAGAAGCCCTGGTCGAGAGAAACCAGGCCACCTGCTGCACCAGTCAGAGGCCACCCTGCTCTTTCCGGGCCCCTTGACCCCTCCCCACTGGCTGGCTGCTCCCATTGCTGCTACTCTGCAGGAGGAAGAGGAAAGGCTGAGGTGTGTGGCCCTCCATGGGGGACAGAGCCCGCCCTTCCTCGCTCCCCTGGCCCAGGCTGAGCCTGTCTCCTCCCTGCTGGAGGGAGCGCCCAGTGCCTCAGACAGGCCCCAGTACCACACCTGGGCTGGGGAGCACATTGCCGCCTCCAGGCAGCCTCCCCCAGACACCTCTGGGCTGCAGGGGGAAGGATATCCTCCTTGATACACACGCCTGCCCTGGGACAAGCTCTGGCTGCCCGCCCTGGGCTGTCTTGCCCACCTTGCCCCACCTGGGTCTCCACGGAAACCCTCACCCATTGCTCGGAAAGCTGCCTGCTCTGCTCCACGCTGGGAGGGAGACACCAGCAGGAGATGAGGTAGCCCAGTCTTGGCACACAGCAGGGCCCAGTCAGCCAGTGACACCCCACTCTCTACCCTGCCCTGTGCCAGCCCTGACCTGTCCCTGACCAGGCTCTCACTGGGGAGTGGGGAAGTCAGGCCAGGGGCATGCACCCACCCCGGCAGGATGGGGGGCAGTGACCCACCTGTAGGACTGCAGGATGTCGATGATTCCAATGTGCAGAAGCAGCCGCTCTCCTCGACCATTCACAGCGGGGATCCCCCCCATCCTGAGGAGAGGGGTCAAGACTGTCAGCACCCATGGAGCCAGCCCAGGGATGAGCCCTGTCTATCAGAAGCACAGGCTGGAGGCGGCCTAGAGCCCCAAGCCAGGGGTACCTGGTCTGAGCCTTAGTGGCACTGAGACAGAGGGATGAGCGGGCAGGAGTGATGGAGCCCAGGGCTTGAGGATCCACACGCTCCCTGTAGGTGGCTACCTGGCCGGGCCCCCGGAGAGGGGTCTGACACCTGGGAAGGCTGCCACGAAGAGGGATCGGGTGGCCTTCCTGGCCTGCTCACTGAGTCAACACGGGCCAGAGGCTGCGCAAGGGTCCGGGCAACGAGACTCAAGTACACGCATACCCACACGTGCACACGCGGAGCTTGCACACATACACAGGTGCATGCACACGCGGAGCTTGCACACTCACACACGCACATAGGTGCATGCACGAGCACATACACACCCAGGCAAGGCCGGGCTTCGGGCGCAGGCTGGGGAGTTAAAGCCGCTGCAGCCCCAGGCCAAGCCCGCCCGTGCAGTTAGTGGGGCCCAAGAGGCAGCAGCTTCCTGCACGCCCAGGCCCCCCGCAGGCTCTGCCAGCCACACTCCACGCAGCGCTCACCTTCGCACCTGCTGTCTCGCCTGGCCTGGCACCAACCCTACAAATGCCAGACGGCTGAGCTCTGGGCCCACTCAGGTCCCCCCCACTCATTCCAGGCAGGCCCTTCAGCTGGTGGCCCAGCTTGGTGGCCAAGCTTTAGCAGGTCCCCCAGCTGGCTGTGTACTCTGATGGCTACCCCCCACCGTAAGGACAGGACAAGGTCTGGACGTGGAGGGTCCAGCCAGCTCCCATGTGGTTTGTGCATGGTGATACAGGGTCAATTGTGGCACCTGTCTACAGCAGCGGTTCCCATTGGGGGTGACCGTCCCTGGGGACACTGGTGCTGTCTGGGGACAGTTGTGGTTGTCACAACCATGGTCAGGAATGCTGCTCCACCCCTCACAGTGCCCAGGACACCCAAAGAGTGACTGGAGACTGCATGGGGTGGGGGTAGAGATGCTCCGTGAGCCTGTCTCTGTGCCCGAGCCTCGAGGGCAGGACCAGGTTGGCTGTTTGGGGGGGTTAGAGGGCACACTCTCCTCTGGACTGTCTGATCTGGCTGCTCCCACAGCCACCTGGCATCACTAGGGAAGAAACGTTCTCAGCCCCCGCATCCCTCCTCCCCGGGGTCCTGGGCAGGGATCTTGCTGTGAAAGGGTCCCTGTGCCCAGGCCTTTCCACCTTCTCCTGGCTGCCTTCCAATACCTTTCCAGCTTTGCTGCCTATGGTGAGGCTTTAACTCCCCTGGGTCCAGGGCGGGGGTACCTTTGTTTCCCACAGGGCTGGCCAGTGACCTCCGTCTACTGACTGACTGAGTCGGATGCCAGGGTCAGAACACCCAGCCACAGCTGTGCGCCCAATATCTAACTCGCAGGGCCCAGGGGGTGGGGATGGGTGGGCACTGCTGGCTTACAAACCAGAAACCAGGAACCTGCCAGGTTCTTGACTTGGCCTTGTCCCTCTCACCTTCCTCAAGGCTCCCCCTCCTCCTCCCCCTTGCCTGCTTCTCTCCTGGCAAGGGGGCTGGGGCAGAGATGAGAGCTGAAAGCCCCCTCAGTCCCAGCACCTACGTGTCATCTGTCTCGATGGCCTCCCCGCGTGCGGCGCCACCCTGGATGGACTCCATGGCTGTGGAGTAGAGCGCCTTCTGGCCCAGCGGCCGCTTCTCGTCGGCTGTGCTCTGGGCGCCCTCAGCCTGCCGCTCGCGCTCCTGCTGGTCGATGTTGTGGACGCCCAGGAGCAGGCTGTAGTCCATGATCTTGAAGCTCTCCAGCACCTGCAAGAATAGAGGTCAGGGGTCGGCCGACTCTGTCCCGGTACCTTGACCCTGGCTGGTGCTGAGCCTGAGCTGCATCCAGGTGTGTGTCCACTGAGTCCCCACGGCCAGGTGGGGAGGCCCTCATCCCATTTTACCAACCAGGTGAGCAACAGGCCAGGCGGGTAAATGGACCACGGTGGGTGGGCCTGGGGAGTGGCTCCTGACCTGAGGTCAGGGTGCCTCCGAGCCAGCCTCACACCCCCACCCCTGCCCCGGGTTCAGAAGCCTGGTTTACTGGCCACCCCACCCTGCTCCAGACCATGAGGTGCAGCCCAGGACGTGGACACATGGGCACTGGGGATGGGGCCTGGAAGCCGTGGGACCCGGAGATGGCTGGTGGTTTTCTGGGGTGTCTGGGAGCCAGGGGTGCAGGGCAGACCCTGGAGGACCCAGGCCTGACCTGAACCCCCTCCAGACCTCCGTATCCTTGCCTTTGAGGCAAATGAGGGGCGGGGTGGACCACAGTAGCAAGGCCTGGGATGAGCCTGGCAAGCCTTCTTTCTCCCTAAGAAATAACTGCCTGTGCAGGAGGGTGGCTGCACAGACCTGGGTCTAACTGCTGGGTCTAAGGAGAGCCTTAAGTTTTTTCAGTTTTGCTTTTGTTTTGGCTGTGCCGCAGGCACGCAGGATATTAGTTCCCTGATCAGGGATCGAACCTGTGTTCCCTTTGAGTAGAAGCTCAAAGTCTTAAACACTCAAACACTCAGGCCAGGTAAGCCCTGAAGTGCACCCTGAGTTGAGCCCTGAAAACCTCAGGCTGCCTGGAGGCGCTGTCTGGCAGCAGAACACAGCTTGTGGGAGAGGGTGGGCGTGGGGCATCTCTTGGGCTCACATGGTGCTCGCTTCTCCCTGTGTCCCCCCTTCACAGCTGCGAGGACGGGGCTTGGACACGGGACCCGGCCGACCAGCCGGCCGCTCCTCACCAGGCAGTCGCGCTGCAGCGTCTTGACGAGTGCAGAGAAGGTGTCGGCATCAAGCATTAGCCCCTCAGGCATGTCCTGAATGAAGTCCAGGTCCTTGTAGGTGGGGATGCTCTTTTCCTTCTCCTTCTTGCTGGCCCGCCGCTTGTAGGTGGAGCCTTTGAGATCGAACTTAAGGTGCATCTTGACCACGCGTGGCAGCACATTGTTCATCACAACCACGCGGATGTTCTTGCCACCTGACTGCACGCAGTATAGCCCATAGAACTTGGGCAGCAGTGTCCGAGGGTTCTGGTTGAGGTTCTGGTGGAGGGGAGAGGGCAGATGGAGAGGACGCCAGGAGCCTTGCTGGCACCCCACACAGCACCCTGTGGCTTGCTCCTCAGAGCTCAGGCCAGAGGCCACCTCTTCAGGAAGCCCGCCCTGACCACTTCCCTGAGGCCCGCCCTCTCTCCTTGCCCCTAGCACCCGGTCAGCTGAACTCCTCATCGCCCCACCTGACTAAAAGTGCCAGGAGGGTCTGTTTCTATAAGGCCAGGCCCAGGGAGAGGTGGCCTTTCCATAAATGGCTCCATGGGACTTCCCAAGGAGTTGGGCCTGGTTTCCCAGGAGGTCAGACCCAGGTCTCTCACCTCCCCAGTCTGCCCTGGGGAGATGGGAGTTAGTTGGCCTCTAGACATCAGGCCATTTGTCTTTTTTGAAAATTTTTTTGGCTGTGCCTCGTAGCATATAGGATCCTAGTTCCCTGACCAGGGATTGAACCTGTGCCCCCTGCATTAGAAGCATGGAGTCTTAACCCCTGGACCATCAGGAAGTCCCAGGCCACTTGTCTTTGTACAGCTGGGAACTAAGAATGGTTGTACATTGTTAGGAAGTTGATAAAACTAACCAAAAATTAGTGTCCTGTGGCATGTGAAAATTACGTGAAACGCACATGGCAGTTCTATCGGCACTCAGCCGGGGCCACTTGCTCTCGCCCTGTCTGCGGCAGCTTTCTCGCTAGAGCAGAGCCGTGGAGACAGAGGCTGCACTCACAAAGCTGAAAATGTTTGTTTTCTCATGTTTCACAGAAAACGTTTGCTGACCCCTGACCTAGGGGAGCTGAGGATCCCACCCAGGATCATACATGGCGAGGTGGGTTACAGGGTGGGGGATGGGTCACAATCTGTGCAAAGTTACCCAGGGCCTGGCCACGCCTGCCAGGCAGCAGGGAAGGCTGGCCCTCTGGCAGGGGTCCTCATGTCCCGTGTGGGTGTGTATCAGGACCCCCACCCCTGGGGGCCAGGAAGTCTGAGGTGCCTGCTCCCACACCCCCAGGGGCCTGAGTTCCAGCTGATAGCCCAGTTCCTCCCCAGTGCCTGTCTGAGTCACTGGCTGTTGAGACTTGAGGCCCAAACCCATGATTTCTGGGAGGTGGGTGGTGGGGCATGGCCACCAAGGCCCAGATGGCTATTCCTGCTTGCCACGTGAGGGGGTCCTGCGGGTGAGGCTCGGTGACCCAGGACGGCCTGTCAAGGCCTGCCTAGAGGGACAGTTCCTGGAGGGGGTGGTTCCCAGGAGGGGTAGTTCCCAACGTGCGGATGCCCGGAGTTCCTCAGCAGAGGAAGGCCTACGTCCAGGGGCGGCCAGGCTCCCCACCATGTAGTAGCCAGGCAGCAGCTTCTGCAGGAACTCGGCCTCCTTGTGCATCACCGTCTTGATGATGAACTCGTCGTCGCTGGTGACGTAGAACAGGGAGCCGCTGGCACCGGGGTTAGACAGCTCAATAAGTGGCTCGTTGCACAGCGAGTACTGAAAAGGGGATGGTGAATGGGTGGGGTGGTCACCGACACCCCACAGGCCCAGGGGCTGGTGGCTGATCCCGGAAGTGGTCACGGTCGGCTCCATGTGATAATCACACAGGAGACCGTAGTGTCTGGAAGGATTGGAAGGCCTGGCCAGCAAGAACGGAGCCTGGCTGATGACACCATGGGTTTGGAAGAGACCCGATGCAGTTGAGTCCACCTGAGGCCACAGCCCAGCCCTGCATGACAACCTGAGCAAGGAGCCCAGCAATGCTGCAGCCACGTCCCTGCCCCGGGGAGGCCGAGGACGACAAGCAAGTGGCGATCTAAGCCCGAGGCAAGGCTCAAGTGGGTGACCGTGTGACACAGCGGCTGCTGAGGACACACTCACCAAGTAGTCGTCTGGCCGAATCCCAAAGAGCTCCCGGAAGTAGCGGAAGGCAACAGGCGCATAGGTCTTGAACCTGAAGTCCTGGAAGTGATGGGCAGGAGTGAGGTTGCTGCCTTCACTGCAGAGGAAGCAGGGGGGAGACTGTGAGGTACCCAGGCCTGTGTACGCTCCCTTCCCCCACCGACAGCCCGCCTGCCCGCCCAGGCCCAGCCCCAAGGCACCCGAATAGCCAACCCAAAAAGTGACATGGGGCCTATGCTGGACACGGGTCAAAGGGCTGTGGCCAGTCTCGGGCTGTCCTCCAGTGATCACCCTCTCCTTCCTTCATTAGCCCACAGTGTGGGGTGTACACACGGCCACCCAGAATAAGACCACTGCCAGCCTCCTCCACAGCCAGGCATGATCAGGGTGCTGTACTTGGCCAATCCCATGAAGGGACGAGAATGACTTGGGTCTTTTCCTAGTCATGCCGTTAAAGGGCAGGGGCATGTGCTCTCCTTCTCTTTCCTGTGGTTGGAACACAGGTGTGATGGCAGAAGCCTGGGCAGCTCTTGCAGTCACTGGTTTGTAAAAGCAACATAGATGGTGGAGAAACCAGAAGAAATCTGGGCCCAGCAACATCATGGAGCCACCTGACCAATCTTCCAACCTTGGACTGTGTGTTTGTGTGTGTGTGTGTGTAGGTATACATTTACACACACATATTAGAAAGAGAGAAACAACAAACTCTTGTCTTCCTCTCTTTCTAAGAGTTGCCATTCTATTGCATCTCTCTGATTCAGCAGCAAACATCCTGACTGACACAGGACTGCACCTCAAAGGCAAGGGGAGCCCAGGAGGGGCCGGAGCCATTTCCAGCAGAGAAAAAGGCTGAAAGAACAGCAGGGGGGGTTGTGTGTGTGCAGGGAGAGTGCAGAGGGCTTGGAGTGGGCCGGGCAGGGTACCTGGGGAAGAAGATGCTCTCCACCACATAGAAGTCCTGCATGAGCACGTCACGCTCCGGCTTGGAGCTCAGGTTGCCCACGGTGTAGCCGATGCCCAGCTGGATGGCCCCCTTCAGGGTAGAGGACGTGGTCTGCGGGAAACCCAGCTGCATCAAGACCCCTGGGGCCCACCCCTTGGCTGCCATGGTCCGAGACAGGATGGGAAGCCCCCTTAGGATGGAGGGGGCAGCATCCGGCCTGCGGCTCAGCCCCCAACACCCATGACCTCCGAGGGGCCCCCAGGCAGCACCCACCAAGCCCGTCACAGACATGCTGGCCTCGGGACCCCCACTCAGCCCACATAACCACATGGCCAGGAAGTGGCCTGACTGAGGTTCCAACACCACCATGAGGCCCCGTGGCCTGTTTTCTATCCACATTCTAGAAGGTTCCTACAGCTCAGAACCGCCTCGACTTGGTGGGGGGTCTACCACTGCCAGGGCTCTCTTTTGGGAAGCTGGAGTACAGCATCCAGCAAGGCCCAGGCCTTCCTTCTGAGATCTGGGCTCCTCCTGTCTACTCTCAAAGGGATCTGCCTCTCTGCATCCCAGTCCTCCACCCTGGCACTGGCCCTCCTGCCGCCCTCCCTCGAGAAGTACCAGCTGCCTGTCCATCTGTCAGCACTGCCATTCACGTTACCGTCACCATGAGCCCTAAGCAACACGCCCACCATCAAGGAAAGACGCCTTGGTCCTCGTTACCGACTCCGGTCCCCCGCATCCCCATCGCAGGGACAAGCCCTTCCCAAGCACCCACCCCTCCTGCTGAAGCCCCCCCTCAATCCATTCCCTCAAGATGACATCGACTGAACGTTATCTCCAGAGGAGATACGCAGGTGACCGGTGAGCACAGAAGGTGCTGGGTACCACCAGGTGCCAGGAAGGTGCAAATCTAGACAGAGGGACCTGCTGCCCATGCACCAGTAGGGACAGATCAGACAGACAAGCACCACACAGGGCGGGAGTGGAGTCCTCATGCTCAGCTGGCAAGAAGGGAAAACGTCGGTGGACAGTGTGGCAGCTCCTCCGAGGGTTACCTGTGACCCCCGGGGGCCCCAGCGGTTCCACTGCTAGGACAGCGGCCCAGGGAGGGCAGTGCAGCCCCGACAATCACCTGGACACAAGCCCTCACAACAGCACTGCTCACAGGAGCCAGAAAGGGTCCATCAGCAGGGGGTGGATACATAGAACATGGTCCCTCCACCCATGGGAGCATCGCTCAGCCACAAAAAGGAGAGAAGCCCTAACACCCACTACCACGTGGATGGATCCTGAGGACACGATGCTCAGTGAGAGAAGCAGACACAGAAGGACACACAGGGTGTGACTCCACTGATGGGAAACGTGCAGAACAGGCAGGTCCACAGACACAGAGAGTGGGTCCCTGGTTGCCAGGGGCTGGGGGAGGGGATGGGGACAGGGCTTTTGAGGTGAGGGAAACACTTTAAAATTGACTCTGGCGATGGCTGCACTGCCCTGAATACTCCAGAAACCATCTAACTGAACACTTCAGAAGGGTGACTCACTCGCTGCACACACTCGCTCTCAGCGAGGTGGGTGTTTTTGGGAGGTGCAACCAAGTGGAGAGGACCAGCAGCAGTGGGGCCAGCTCACCACGCACAGCCCTGGCCCAACCTCAACCCCATCCCGCTCCCAAGGGACGAGAGGAAGCTGCAATTTCTTCTCGCTCAAAGTCATAGTCAAGGCCACAGTGACTTGAGGAGCCAGGCTGGTGGTGCAGCCTCCAGCCACAAATGGCCCACACCTGACCTTCCGTGGGCCCCGTGCACATGTGGGGGGCCCCTCCTTGTCCCACCCCCGTTGACTGAGGGCAGAGCAGGAACCTTCTTGTAGGTGGTTTCGCCAGATGCATCTACACCCCGATGACCCAGCTTCTTCCCGTGGCCAGGACCGGGCTGTCCAGTCATCAGCGGGACCTGGGGAGGAGGAAGCAGGAAGTTCAGAATTGGCAAGAGACCAGAACGCTCTGGAAATCCTGGCCAGAAAGGGCCTCTGTCGCTGGGCCCAGCTGGAGTCTCGGGCAGGGGCTAGGTGGGTAGGCTGCAGGGCACGGGGACTCCTCTCTCTGGGGCCCACATCCCACATCTCAGCAGCCTGGGTCCTCTGCAGGGAGAAAAGCCCCAACTTCAGGGTCACCCCCACCCCCAGCACTGCTGACTTGGGGCTAGTCACTCTCTGGGGGGCATCCTGGGTGCTGTGGGGTGCGGAGCAACATCACTGCCTTACCGCTTCACTGCCAGGAGCCCCCCAGTTGTGACAACCACAGATGTCTCCAGACGGGTGAGACCCTTTGGACTGAAATGACAGTATCTCCTCCTGGATGGGGGAAAGGTCCCGCTGGTCTGTGGGCAGGCTGGTTCCTGCCAGCTTCATGGCACAGGTGTGACATCCTGGCAAAGTTGTGTGGAAGCCACTGGCCCCCGTGTGTGACATCACAGGGCAAAGATGGTGCACATGGCCATGGGGCCTGAAGGACACATGCCAGCCCAAGAGCCGGGCCGAGGCCGGCCCACAGATGGTGTGAACTTGCCAGCGTTCACAGGGCTCAGACCAGCCTGTTCTGCACACTGGCCACCAGGGGGCGGGCTTCCCTCAGGCAATGTCAGTTGCCAGCCCTGCTCTGCACCCCTCGCTGGCTCCCCACTGCCAGTCAGCTGGACACCCCCCAGGGCCCCAGCAGGTAGGCAAAGCCCTCCTAGGAAGGACCCTGGATGCCCAGAAGTGTCCTGGGAGAGGAGCCTGGCTGGGAGGGAACATGGATGCCAGGGTTGCTCCTGCTATACCTGGGGTACTCTAAGCTGCTGCCCACGGCTCCTCAGATAACAGCGCTCACAGAAGCCCCTTGCAGGTGGCCTCCAGGAGTGACCGAAATTAACAAAATAGACACAGGGTGCCAAGGGCTCACGCAAGTGGCCACCACCAGGAAAAGCTGCCTGGGGACAGGACCAGCGTGACCCTGGGTGGGCAGGTGTGGGACAGCAGCAGGCTGGGGGGAAGGCCAGCTTGGAGGCACTGCTGGCAGGGACATGCAGGGGGGCCACCCTCTCCAGGCCCCTCGGGGCTCTCCCCACCCACTCCATTCCTCCCAGAAACTCAAGATGCTGGTGGGACAGACGGTTTCCACCGTCTGACGACATGTGCTTATTTGCTATGCCAGCATCTGAGGCCCAGAGAAGTGCAGTGAGATGCCCAAGGCCACGGAGCAGGACGCGGGCGGGCAGGGCCCCGTCTACCTTCGGGAGGCAGGGAGGGTGGGACCCCGAGGACACTCACCTCTACTGGGGTCGTCTTTTTCTGGGCCGAACCTGAGGAAGAGAAGGGACACTTTAGTCTGGACCCTTGGCCTCCGCCGTCAGCACCGCCCCACACACTCACCCTGCGCCCCTGCAGAGGTGGGAGGGACCCCGCGTGGTAGATAGGCCTGGAGACACAATGTGGAGGCGGATGAAGAGTGACCATGCTGATGCGGCTCTGCAGGCAGGGGTAGTGGGAGGGCGGGTGGAGACAAGGCACAGCCCATCGCTAGGAGGGCCCCAAGCAAGGAGGGTGGACATCGCAGCGACCGGGCGGCAGTGATCAGCGGCTGCGGCCCAGGCTTGAGTGACAGCACCAGCCCCCGAGGCAGCTGGGTGATGGAGAGGCAGCCAGCCGAGGACACCCATGGTCCCTGTCCACATGGCCCCTGTCCGCACAGCCCTCATCCACACGGCCCCCATCCCCACGGCTCCCGTGGAAGGATGCTCCCAGTGGGAAGGCCAGCGACGTTCACCTCTCAGGACCACTACCACCCCCTCCACCCAGCTCCTCAAGGGGGCCTCAGGCCAAGCACGGGTGCCGCTGAGCTGGGGTCCTCACCCAGAAAGCTGGCTTCTGCTGAGGGTTATCTGTTCAGTGTGAGTGCTCAGCACACATCTGCCCCAACCCCCAGGACGTTCACATTCTGGTTCCAGAATGGGCTGTGCTGGGGGGTTAAAACCCCTGAGATGGGGATGACTCTGGATTCCCCAGGAGGCCCAGTGCCATCACAGGGTCGTCCTAAGAGGGAGGGGGAGGGTCAGAGGCAGAGAGACGGAGACGTTGCTCTGCTGGCTGTGAGGGTGGAGGGAGGGGCTGTGAGCCAGGAATGCGGCGCCTCTAGAAGCTGGAAAACGGGGGAGCCAGTGCTCCCATGGAGCCTCCGGAGGGACGGGCCCTGCCCACGCCTGGATTTAGCTCCGTGAGGACTGAGGTGGACTCCTGGCCTCCAGGACTGTGAGATCATCAATCTGTGTAGTTAGCAGGTCAAGTCTGTGGTGACTGGTCTGCCAGGTGTCAGCGTGGAGGGAAGGCAAGTGGTGACCAGGGCGGTCCTGGCCCCACCTTCCAGGGCCCACAGTCAAGGGGTGCAGAGAAGGGTCTGGACAGCACAGCAGGTGCCAGGAGGACCACATGAAGAGACAGGTGGGGGGTCTGATCAGCAAGGGAAGGCTTGGGCTCTTACCTCAGGGAGACGGGAGCCCTGGAGGGCTGGGGTAAGGTGGGGGCACCTGACTCAGGTGCTCACAGGCGCCCCCCTGGTGGCCGTAGGGGACCAGATGGGGGGGCGGGGGGGTGGCACACCCAGCCGGGAGGCAACTGCGCTACACCAGGTGGGAGATAGATAATGGGGTGGACCACGGTGGCCACCGCGTAGCATGTGAGAGAGAAGTGGGCAGATTGGGGAAGATCCAGAGTCAGGACAGACAGGCCGTGCTCACTGGAGGAGGACTGAAGAAAAGTGAGGCGTCAGGAATGACTAAGGATTTTGGAGCAACTCACAGAAGGATGGAGCTGCCTCAGCCAGGATGGGGGCTGGGCAGGAGAGGTGTCGGGGATGGTCGGGGGCAAGGTGGCCATGTTGAGTGTGAGGCCCCTGCATGAAGACGGGAGGGACAGCTGGACCCCACGTCAGGAGCTCAGGGAGGCCCCAGCTAGAGGCAAGGCTGGAGGCAGTTGTCCTGGGGCTAGATGGGGTTTGAGCCCCAACAGTGGACAAGACCACCCAGGAGATGTGGGGGTGCGGGTGGGGAGGCCCGAGGACCCGGCCCTGGGCCCTCAAGCCGGGGGGCAGGCAAAGGCCAGCAGAGAGCAGCAGGCCCAGGTGATGGGTCAGGGTCAGAACGTGCTCTCTGTTCGCCGGGCTCGGGCCAGGCCCGGGTCGGGCATGGCTACTGGGGACTCAGCTTCCTCTAGGAGGATGAGAATGGTCTGCAATCAGTGGTCATGGCCACACAGCACTGTAAAGATACAGGAAAAACTGAATTATACACCTACAAGTGAGTTTTCTGGTATTTATGAGTTATCTCTCAACAAAGAACACAAAACCAAGATAGCACAGCCGTGGTGCAGCCAGGCTGGCTGAGGTGGGGACTCTCCTGAGCACCCTTCTGCCTGCAGTGCCCCCCTCCTGCCCCCGCCATCAGGAGACAGGAAAACCAAGGCCAGGGAGCAGCCGGCTCAGCCCTTCATGACACCAGGGTCCACAGAAGGGACTCTCCTGGAGGACACAGCTCACGGATCCCCGGAAGGCCGTAACAGCGCCAGGACGGGACACACCAGCCCACACGCCCACCTGCTACATGTGGGCTCCCTGGCCACAGGACGAACCTGGGCTCAGCCCACCCTGAGGCCTGGGGCTGGGAGGTGGCGGAAGGTGCCGGAAAGCTGACATAATATTTTCGTTGGCCGCCCAACAGCAGAACAATTCACGGTTTTGCGTCTGGGGTGTGGGGGAAGGAAGGGGGGATGAGGCAGGAAGTGCCAGTGGACTGAATGGAACATTCCAGATGCCCCAGGCATCTCCTTCTCAGTCTACCTGGAGCACCTGGGCCTGAAGCCCAACCCCTGGGCCCACCAATGTCCTCTGCAGCTCCCGACCCGTCCCAGGGTGGAGACAGTCCAACACCACGGTCCCTGTCCTCTCCACCACCAAGGCCTCTGCAGTCTCAGGGCTGTGGGGGCGGGGCCCAGCCAACACCAGCGTGGGATGTGAAGTCCAGCCAGTCCGCCCCACCCCACCTGGAATCCCCCCAGGCATGAGGCCAGGAGGGCAGCAGGCAGGCTCTGAGCCAGCCCAGGTCACAGGCAGGGGTGCGCAGAGCAGGGGGAGAAGCAAGGGCAAGAAGTGGCCAACACACCTGAGACGGGGTTCTGCCTAGACACGCACCTCGATGCCCCCTCTAGGGGCCTCCTTTCCCCTCCTCCAGGGCCCCACCATCCGTGCGCCCACCTGCTTTCTGAAATGCCCTCTGGAGCCTTGCTCTTCAGCTCTGGGACCAGGCAGCCAGGTGGCTCTTGCACCCACTCCTGCCATCCGGGCTGGCGGCGGCAGGGACCAAGATCTTGCGCTCCTCCCAGCCCAAGACGTGACCAATTATCTTTTGAATGAGCCACCCGGTTTTCGAGGAAATTAGGTTTTAAAAATAGCCGGGGGAGGGGGAGAGCTTGAGGTGCTGCAGGCAGGAGGCAGGGCTGAGACCTGGGGGGGAATTGGGGACACAGCTGTGCCTCGGGCTGGTCCCCCCACGGATGCCCACGAAGGCTGTTGGTGAGGGACCCCTCCCCCGGCATACACAGGACCCCTTCTCTTATATATTTTTATGAGGAACCTGAGGCAGAGAAAACACACCCCAAGGACTGGGGGCAGGGGGCCTTACCATCTATCCCTCAGCAGAAACACTAGGTTATTTTTACTTCGAAGTCCATTCATAGACCACCTCTGCCTGGCTCCTCTCAGCCCCCATCCTGTACCAAGTGGAAAATTGCCCCCACCCCACCGAGTCTGTCCTCCCCAGAGCAGCCACCAGAGGGTACCCGTGAGCACGAGTCAGGCCCCCGCCTCTGCCCACAGCCCTCCTGGGTCCCACCTCCCTGCAGATAAGAGCCCAAGTCACCTACGCGGCCCACAGGGCCCTGCGCGGCCTGTCCTGTCCCCTCCCCGTGCTCCCTCCCTCTCTCTCTCCCCGTCATGCCTCTGCTCCACAGGGGCCTCCTTGCTGTTCTCTTCCAGCATGCCAGGTACAGTCCTGCCCCAGGGCCTTTGCACAGGCTGTTCTCCCCACCTGAAACGACCTTCCCAAGACCTCTGCAGGGTTTGCTCCCTTGCTTCAGCCAATACCTGGCTCAGACATCGCCCCTTCAGATAAGCTGTTCCCCTGATCACCTCACCCCAGACTGCCCCCCTAACTCCAGGCCACCCTCCCCACCTTCTCTGGCTTTCTCTGTCTTCCAGCACTGGGCCCCACCCCACCTGTGTATCATCTCTCCATACCCCCAGTCACGGGGCATCAGGTCTGCCCTGCCACCTGCAGAGCTGTCTGCAGTGCACAGGGGAGCGTTCCTCAGAGAGGGGCGGGGGGGCCTGAGGCGGTCACTGTGCGATCACTGCCCGCCCGGTGCCCAGGGGAGGGCTGCTCCCCATGACTCAGAGCAAATGAGACAGCATGAGGCAGTTGAGCCAAGAAGCAGCACTGGGGCCAGGGCTCGCTCACTTCCCATCAGCTGGAATGGTCTGGCCACAGGAGCCAAGTCCCCCTGGGCCAGGGCCCCCCGGAGTCTTGGTCCATCACGACCAGAGTGGATAGGCCACCCACACACCACCGAGGGAAATCTGCTTGTAACTCACAAGGAGGGCTCTGTGGCTGACCCCAGGAGGCTGCAGTCCCTGCAGCCAGGCAACCCACCCTGAGCCACCAAACCCAGCGGAAGGGACCCTGCAGCGTGAGGAAGGTGGGTGGCTTTGAGCCACAAGGTCCCTGCTGAGGCCCTGAGGGAGACCTCATGGGGGCAGGACCAGGCAGCCCCCACCCCCCAAGTGCAGGAGCCTCCTAGACGGTGTGCTGCCTGCTGAACCCAACCCGGATGACAGAATCGCAAGTGTGTGCAGTTTGCAGCCCTGCGGCTCCAAGGTGGCTGGTACACAGCAGCAGCTAACTGATGCAGGGACCACTCCTCCAGGCGAAGCGAATCTCCAAGAGGACTATTAAGGACCTAGTCTCAGCCTTTGGGGGATGGAGACAGAAGTGAGCACTTCACGCCCTCCATCCAACTTGCGTTCCTCACATTCACAAAAGCATTAAAGGTACCCACACAACAGATCACTCAGCCACGGACAGAAGCCCTGACACTCGCTACCACATGGACGGACCCTGAGAACACGACGCTCAGTGAGAGAAGCAGACACAGAAGGACACACAGGGTGTGATTCCACTGATGGGAGACGTCCAGAACAGGCAGACCCACAGACACAGAGTGGGTGAGTGGTTGTCAGGGGCTGAGGGGGAGGAGG